AAATTAAAACTTTCATCTTTTAACTGTCGAGTAGATTTAAGTCAACTAATACATAGTATGTTTTTTTTCTCAGTTAACTACATCATAAAGATCAAGACAGTTGGAAATGGCTATTCATATTATGGAAACTTTTTCTCACAGAGCTTGATAATCAGGTAAAATGTAAGTAACATACATATTTGTATTTTTAATCATCAACTAGTTCTATACACTTGATTGGTAATCTAGTTATTCTTCTTGAGGCAATGCCTAGGACTCTCCTATTTCAAGTCTTGGCATTCTTGATTTTTGACAATCACATCCATTGATTTTCTTCAAGTTGTGATAGACCCTATGTGTATTTTTACAATAAATAGCAGTATAAAAATGATGGACAATATTTTACTTTTCAAATAGATTTTAATAGGTAATATCCAATTTGTTGTCGATGGAAATAAAATATAACAATCTGCCTGGGTCTGTTACTGGACAAGACACAATAAGTGTTACCCAAAGATGAAAGAAAATAGAGACTCAGTCTCGATGTGGCAAAATAAATCGTTTATTTAAACATTGTGAACCATAAATAGTAAGAAAGTATTCTTATTGCCTACTTTTTATTTTTTAGGCTGGAAGATTATTTGATGTATGATAACAACAAGAGATCCCAAGCATCAATTTATTTTATAATTCTGGAAAAGAATGCATTTGACCCAACTTTTGAATATTTATTTTTTGTTTTTACTGTTAAATATTCTTCCCAAACACAATTAGATTTTAATTCTCTACAGAAATTTATGTATAATATAGAATGTAAAGTGACATATTAATCACTTAGAATTTGGTCTGAAATCATAAAGTATTTAATAGGCATAATCTAGAAACCAAATGTAGATCAAATATACCCAGAATTACAAAAAACCTTGACCTACATTAAGGTGACTTTCCCTTGCTTATGAAATGAAATAGGGTTTAAGATCCTACTTTGCTGTGTTATTATGGTGATTCTGCCCTACAACCTACTCTTATATCATATATTTCAACTGTCAAGGGTTGTTTAAAGGGAACCCAGGAGGGCCGAATGGTTAACACACGCACATTGGATCAGAAGGTCTGTCATTGAGTCAGATAATTCAATTGTCAAGGGTTCTTTAAAGTAGACGCAGTGGGGGTAGTTTCAATTCCGGGCTTATACCCAATTATCCCTTGCCATGTCCTACACTACTGACGTGTGGGAACTATGTCGGAAAATCCAGTTGAAATTTCTCGGCCAATGCCTTATACTCACTGAACCACAGTGACTCCTCCTTGCTTTTGACTTGTGATTATTTATATATATTTTGTACATATTATTTAATGTTTGCGATTTTCTCTGATATTTTTTTATTTTTCAATCCTGTAATCTTGATGCTTTGCTCCTTTTATGTACAAAATATTCATTTTGTTTGTTGTTTTTTTTTATGAGGAAAAGGTTCTACATCATTTAATTACTCCTGCAAAATAGTGCATTTTTCTTTTGTTAGTTTTCTGTGTATGCTAGTTATTTCTAGATGCCTCACAAATCACTTGTAATATGACTTTGTAGCACTTTTCAGTTTCTAAAAGTATTTCAATTTAGTGCATAATTAATCTAATTAGGGCTTGGTTTGGATGTTATTAAATTTAGATATATTTGAATTATATATTTTTGGGGTATGGGGTAGGGATCTTTCTTTTCTCAGTTCTTATTTTCGGGTAAAGAAAAAATTAAATAGCTATTTTGTATTTTGTAATGTGGGGGGGGGGGGCAAAGTATAACAAAATTTTTATTAGTATTAGAATTATATCTCTGTTTTTCTGTTAACATTTCAAATGATGTCTATTTAGTTTTGATTTGGTGGTGTTAATTTACTTTTTCCTGTCATTTTATGAATAAATGATAATTTAACAAATAAAATTATTGTTACCTCATTTATCAAACTTTACAGGTTAAACAGAGCAAAAAGGGTGGGGGCTGCATGGGAAAGATTGCTAAATTGAGGGAAAATAAAACACAAGTTTTTGTTGGTGGTTATACACAAGTTTTTATGAAACCACACAAGTTTCAGAAATTTCAACACAAGTTTCAGAAATTTCAACACAATTTCAGAAATTTCAACACAATTTTCAACACAAGTATTGTGTAGATTTTCACACAAGTTTCAACAAAAGTTTGTGTTGTTTGGTAAATTTTAACACAAGTCTTGTGTTGTTTCAACATTTAACACAAGTTTGTGTTCTTTCAACACAAGTTTGTGTTGTTAAATAGAGACACCTAACTTGTCGGTGCTTTGGGACAAGATAACTTTGATTCTATCTGATAGAGAGTGATAAAACTTAGTGTATAGTTGATAATCAGTTTGATTGCTCGATACTTTTGAAAAAAATAGATGTGCGATTATTTAATATGTGTCATCTATTTATTTGGGGATTTCGGCGGGGGACAATAGCCTCACTGTTGGCTTGTTTATTATTATTATCAATGGTCAATTCTCCAAACTTACATGAAATATGTCCTTGTGAAACTATATTTTATGAATGCCTATTATTACTTGTATAAAGTGGTATGTTAGTCGTTCTTCGTACAGTCATCATTAGTTCATGACTAGACAGGAACTGGCCTATTCCTCGTCGATGTTAACTTAAAATAATGAAAACATTTCGACAGCTCTGTATTGGGAAAAAAATGAATGAATGAATGAAACATGGTTCAATGGCGCGTCAGCTCCAACCGGGCTATATATTGGGGAAACGTGTGTGTGTGTTGTTTCGTCTGGGGTTGTTAGCGGCGCTATCGCTATCATTCATTATTTTTGTCAAAAAAATTAATAAATTTAAAACAAATTATGTTAAACTTGAAAATGAAATGAAATTAAATTCAAAATTAATCTGAAAATAAAATTTATCCTGAAAATAAAACTAAAATAAAATTACAAGCAAAAGTTAAATCAAGTTCAAAAGTAAAATCATATCAAAATCAAAATAAAAAATATGGAAGAATAAAATTCAAAATTAATCTGAAAATAAAATTTATCCTGAAAATAAAACTAAAATAAAATTACAAGCAAAAGTTAAATCAAGTTCAAAAGTAAAATCATATGAAAATCAAAATAAAAAATATGGAAGAATAATAATAATTTAGTAATAACAATAGTCTTTCGCCATGGTGACTCAATGAGTAAGACTTTTACACAGATCATAGTTTGTAAATGACATATGGAAGTAATTACATGTTTAATTAGATCATAGCCAGTTCGTGCCTTAACAGAAGTATATACAGAGTTGAAAAGTCAATATTATATTATCAAAAGCAGCACAGGTCAATAAGTTTTAAGCACCTAAATGATGGTCCAGTTTGATGAAAGTTGTAGAGTACTTTTTCATAGTGGTTCCCCTTTGTCAGTGGTGCAGACATACGTATACCCGTTCGGTTGGGATGAAGAACCGAGTTCCCGTGTACACATTGGCGCGCACGTAAAATTTTCTACGTTAAACCCCATTTCATTTATCTTTGGCTGGCGTACAATATTGGTTATGAAACGCAGCAGGTTTCCATATTTTATTAACTTGTAACTCCGATACAAGAGACAAAAACTTGGACAAAGACATTCACTGGGCAGATTGCCACAGTTTTAGGCTACCATATTATAACAGGAAATCTTAAAGCGGGGGGTGGGGGGTGCCAGCGAGGTTGTTGCCGAACGTAGCGATGCAAAAAAAAAAAAAAATTTTAGGAATAAACATATTTTAAGTGAACTAATTGGTTACACTATTATTTCCGACATTCTTGAAAAATAGATTATAAGTAAAAGAAAGAACTATGGGCGGATCAAGAAAAAGTTAAATTCATTCTTACTCTTTGAATATACATTTTCTTTTTTATCTTAATTATGCCTTTTCAGATTGTATAACATTTTAAAATAATACTAGCAGGGTACACGGCTTTGCCAGGTTCGAACGGGACCAAAAAGTCCGTGACCTTGACCTTCGTAAATCATGGCCGAAAGCAAGTAAATTGACAAAATCCTTGCTTGTGATTTTTCAGAAAAAAACAACCTGTAGCAAAGTGGACTAAAAAAAGTGCATTTTGTTGCATGCTACATATAAACAGTTTGTGAGATTCTTATTCCCGTCTCGTATGATGTGTAGAATATGCCTATCTTTAGCAATCCCTTCCTCAGTACCGGATCTAGGGGGGGAAGTGGAACAAATGTCCCGCCCCCCCCCCCCCACATTTAGCCCCCCCCCCCCCCACAATTCTGGGTCATACTAATATTTTATCCCGGACGAAGCCAACCAGTACCTGGGCTGAGCGGGCGAGGATTGGGGCCCAGGGCCCCGGGACTGGTAGGTACCAACATATTTTCGGGGGCCCAGAGATCGGTTAGGCCCTAAAATTGGTATGTCCCGGGTCCCCCACAAGGTTAATCCGGCACTGCCCTTCCTTGTCAGTCAATTTCTGCATTACGTTGGGCACTATTGACAAACTGGAGTTGTAAATAAAGTTATGTTCTGTTCTATACATGATATTACAAGGAGAGCATAATATGATAGAATCATTATTATAACCATAACAGAAAGCTAGAACAAGAAATTGAATTTAGAAATAAGCACGTTAGGTAGCTCAACAATCGTTTTAAGAAGCTTGTAAAAGTTAAATGAAACTACTGCTAGTATCATGTTCCTGTCTAACCCGAGTGATTCAGAGATATTATTTGTACTAAACCAAAAGATGCCGCTCTTAACGGTACAGTTAATGATAAAGCGATTTAAAAAATGAAACGAACGTAATTTCTAAATCTGCTGTAATAACCAAGAAGCTTAATTTTACTGCTATTCAAAATCTTCAACAATAAATTTTTTACGGCTGTAATAGTTAATAGATTTGTAGCGAATTGGGCGTGCCATGGCTATTTATAGTATCACACTGTCAGTGAGTTGGTCTCAGCTCAGCGGTGGACTGTATTTATGTATATTGAGGATGGGTCGTCCTATTATTTCAATAGTATTCTAACAACAATAAAATGCAGTCTATTGAAGTTTCTGTTATAAACCTTTAAAATATAACTCTTGTTACAAAGTCGGAATCCTAGTAACGACGCCAGCTCTCGTGTCGACATGATATATAACAGTCACAAAGGATTGCCGGGTAAAGCCAAATAATTGGTAAGAATAATACTGTTTTATTAATTTTACAGCACATTATGTTAATATGAAGAGAGGTGGGGTGGGGAATGATAGTTAGCTTCCACTCAAATTAGGTCATTTCGGGGCTAAAATTTGGTTTAATTTTAATTTTAATAAATCACTTGTGCGTAAGGGTCTTTAGCTGCTCGGGGAGTAGAGGGGGGGGGGGAGGTAGAAAACCAACGAGGTTGAACAGTCTACCCTACCCTTTGTCATATAAAAGCGGGCAGCGAAACTACGCGACCTGACTGTACCCAAGTGTGGAAGACGCTGGCTCGCTAGTCTGGGGACGCGGATTCGCTCGCGGTGTTGGTCAAAAAAGTTTATCGGAATTTTCCGGTTCGGTTTCCCTTGTCAGTGGTGCAAGACGGACGGCTTGACAAGGATAGCTACCTAGTCTTTCGGATAGTACGAAAAACCATTGGCGTGTACGTAAAAGATCCCTTGGCAGTTGGAATTCTATATAAGAGTAGGCCTTAGGTCGCAGGCGGTTATATTGTATTGAAGTGTTTATTAAATTTATATTTTTAGAACGCTCGTGTCTTTGTAATGTACAGTACAATTCTAGAAGATATTACTTGGTCAGGTTTCGTTCTTAAATTATTTCACGGTCTGTAATTCAAAGATGTGTCTATGCACTTAGTAGTAAAAAACGTTAAGCATAAAAATTAAAACAATTTTAGGGCAGATTTTTCGTCCTCCCATGAACCAAAGCATCACACCAAATCTGAGGAGCATAACTGCTGAACGAAAGGTCGCGGTATGCTGATTATCGATATGGTTTGTCGTCCCATGGCCATAATACTTCAAACCATTCAATACATTCACCTAATCAGCATCTACACCAAGTTACAAAATTCCATCCCATTCAAGAGCAGAGTTATGTTTCATATTCTTGACCCGTCGAATAGCTTATTGGTACTTAGCCTATGTAGAAAATTCTCTCATAATCGTCAAGGTATTGATAAAATGAAACTATACTCTGAGTTCCACCCCTTTCACCTATTAGAACCAAAGTATACTTGATCCACAGTCTTAACCAGTCAAATTGCTTATTTGTTCCTAACATAAGTGGGAAAATGCGTATCACCGGACTTCGTCAAGACATTCAACTATTAAACAAATATATTCTACCTCTATTAGAAGGCAAGTTATTGTCTTCCCAATCTCAGTAAAACTTAGCCCTACTTGGCCTAAGCTAAAAATGTTCATCGTTGAACTTAGTGGGGGTATTGAAATGTAATAATACTTAATAGGGCTATTCAAACAAAATCGACGTTATCGAGCTTCATCAATGTCTCAGCCAATGAAATTGCTTATTGTTCTACTCGTTCGTTTGTTCGTTCCTGGGGGTTTTATTTACACTTCCACCTGGGGTGATATCGCAGAAAAGATTGTTCTACTTACACTGCGTAGAAAATGTTCATTTTCAGACGTAGGCAACGTTTTGATGTAATGAAACCGTACGCCAAATTGATAAGAATCAAAGTCATCGTGTCCCAAATCATTGACTAATCAGATTGCTTTCCGCTCAGCCTGAGCCAAGCAACGTGTGATCGTCTTCAAACTCCGCGAATTCATTCAACTAATAAACACCTAAATTAATCCTTATAAGACATATAGAAATAGATTTCACTAAAAATAACACACTAATATGGATATACTACTTCTGAATTGTATTAACATGCTACGTTTCAATACTCATACAGGTATCGTTATCAAGCAAATAATGAATAATTAACAAAAACGTAGTGCAATATATAGATAACTACTTTGGAAGCCATTTAGCAGATACAACAATAACAACAATTTAATTAACAAGATGAAAGATATAATATGTAGACAACAGGTAGAAACCATTTAGCAGATAACACAACAACAACAATTAATTAACCAGATCAAAGATCACAATTTGAAACCATTTATACGATGAACCAATGACCACAATTAAATAACCAGTACAAATATATAGGTAACAAGTGGAAACCATTTTAGCAGGGGCGGGGGGGGGGGCATTAACCACACAGTAATTAGGGATTGAGTAAATCTACCCATAGATTTGGGAGAAAATATCCTGAGTCTCTGTTTAATTTAGGCTTATGGTTCTGGATTTCTAGGGCTTCTCTGAGAATTCTGTTTTTCCACACTGTCAAGTTCCTGGCTAGAATTTCCGTCTTTTCCCATTTGATTTTTTATGTTGCGGATTGTTGAAAATATGTTCTGCAATTGCAGATTTATTATACTCCTGCTTCCTAACTGCGGTGTGATGCTCTTTAATTCGCACTGATATCGGACGTGACGTTTCTCCAATGTATGCCTCATTACACTCACATTTTATTTTATATATAACACCCTTTGGGTCGTCTCTGGGTTGTTTTATTCTGCCATTTGCGTTTAACATGGTTTTTAGTGTGGTTCCGCTGCTGAACACTACATCTGCATCTATTTGCTCTTTTAAAATTCTTTTGATTTGGTGACTGACTGGTCCTATGTATGGAATAGTGACGAATATCGGGTTATTATTTCTTACAGCTTGGGGTGGTTTGCACGTATGCGTGAGGGTTTTCTTCATGGTCGTCTTAACTTTGTTTTCAGGGTAGTTGTTGTATTCTATGAGGACATAGTTCTTCGTCACACAATAATTTAGCGCGTCTAGTTAAAGTTCTTATAATTCCTGTTTTGACTTTATTTGGATGGTTCGAACTGTTATGTATATATTGGTCTGTGTGGGTCGGCTTACGGTAAACAGTGGTTTTTAGATGGTCAGAAGAGCTGTTCACCAATACGTCTAGAAATGGTAGCTGGTTGTCATTTTCTAATTCTACTGTAAATCTCATGCGAGGGTGGGCGCCGTTAAGATGATCAAGGAGGTGCTGAGGATTCTTACTTGGTTCCATGATAACAAATATGTCGTCGACTTTTCTCATCCATTGTATTGGTTGGAAAGGTGCAGAAATCCTGAAACATAAGCCTAAATTAAACAGAGACTCAGGACATTTTCTCCCAAATCTATGGGTAGATTTACTCAATCCCTAATTACTGTGTGGTTAATGCCCCCCTCCCCCCCTGCTAAAATGGTTTCCACTTGTTACCTATATATTTGTACTGGTTATTTAATTGTGGTCATTGGTTCATCGTATAAATGGTTTCAAATTGTGATCTTTGATCTGGTTAATTAATTGTTGTTGTTGTGTTATCTGCTAAATGGTTTCTACCCGTTGTCTACATATTATATCTTTCATCTTGTTAATTAAATTGTTGTTATTGTTGTATCTGCTAAATGGCTTCCAAAGTAGTTATCTATATATTGCACTACGTTTTTGTTAATTAATCATTATTTGCTTGATAACGATACCTGTATGAGTATTGAAACGTAGCATGTTAATAAAATTCAGAAGTAGTATATCCATATTAGTGTGTTATTTTTAACACCTAATTTAATTAGGAGAGTTACTATGTCCCAAACTGTGTGACGGACAGACAGACAGTGCCCGAGCAGAGTATGCTCATCTCGAACTCTATCAAGGCAGTCACGAAAGAAACATCGACACCACGTTTGGACATTCTAGCTCAATTAGAAGAAAAGTAATTGTGTCCGAACCGAAATCATCAACCAATCACATGGCTTATCCCCGCTTATGTTCAACGTCATAGCATTCGCTTAAAGAACGCCTATACCAAATTTAACATTCTAACTCATGTAAAAGGCGAGTTATCGGTCTTAAAACGTGAAGCGGACAGGTGCGACGCCATAATACGTCTCCATAAATTTTGGGTGTAAAAACACATAGTGATACGTATTACGGGTAGCAACAAGATACATTAACACATAATCCATACATACATAACTCACACAAAGCAAAATCTTGCCATTTTATCTGTTTCCAAATATATTTGAGGCTAATATCGGTTAATAACAAATAATGGCAAATACATCTTAATAACAGTTTATCATTAATATATGTCCTACTGTATTCCAGAAACTGTGTGATTGTGTGTTTGCCAATAATTAAAGAATAATTACTGGTAGTTGGGAGTTCAAAATGTGGTCATGGATAGGACAGTACCATTCAGGTACAGTGGACATTCCTTGATTATTATTAATTAATTTTTCAACAGTTGGTTAGATATTAATGTGCTATTGCATTCCCAGTTCGTAATCATTGCCGCATTGAGAAAAGATTACTTTTTAGCGTACAATCTCCGCGAAACATAATTACAGTTCTTACAAATTAACAATACATCAAGTTCAATGATTCGATGCAGAATTCTGTCATTCGGATTTTATGACCCATGGGCCGCATAAAACAAATTATTGGCTTGTTTATCGTCTCTCAAATTCTGCTTTCCATCTAATATAAAGATATGGTCAAAATACTTTGCGTCTATTTTTTAAAAAACAATAATGATTTCAAGAAAGGATTAATAAGCTTATATCGCGACGCTTATATTTAGTACCCAGAAACATTCACTTGTGTTTGAAATATGGGGGCCACGGTGGCTAAGTGGGTAAGACACTGGCTCGCTTGCCCGGAGGTCTGGTGTTCAATCCCTGCATTGGCCGAAAAAGTTCATCCAGATTTTCCAGCGTGGTTCCCCCTTGTCAGTGATGAAGAACGGAGGGCCTGGCAAGGACAGCTGTCTAGTCATTCGGATAAGACGAAAAACCAAGGTCCCGTGTACACATTGGCATGCACTAAAAGATCCCTTGACAGTTGGAATTCGATATAAGAGTTGGTCGTAGTTCCGCTATCCGGACAAAATTTCCCTCATAGCACACGGTATTTCGTATGCGCATCTTCCTTAGCCCAGTTCGGGGCAAAACAGTAGGACGTTAAACCCCATTTCATTTCGTTTGAAATATCTGTATATATTATGCCCTGTCGGTAGGATTGAAATGTCTTTAAGTGTAGTGTGATCTTCCTGCACTTACTATGAAGGTATCATCAATATGTAAATCTGGACGTTGTCATTTTTAATTCTCTTTATGGTATAGAATGTGTTGTATGGCTTTATATGCCAATTATGAGATGTCTTGATGTTCTCTAAATAGTCTTATGTTATTCAGATTTTTTGCACACAGAAATCGGTGGATATGAAGGACGACCGCCAAGCAAAGTTAGTTTTTCTCGGAATAAGAAATGTCCTAAGCATGAGGTAAGGATAATGTATCAGTTTTGTCATGTTTGAGAGAGACTTTTAATAATGTTTAGGGGCATGCTGTAACATGATAGAGCAATAAATTAAAACACAGCCTTTTACAAGAACAATTAATATTTCAATTTGGAGACATTTCTAATAGTATTCTCTCAATGTTTTCAAGCAAGTATAATTGAATAGATATTTCCAGAAAATCTGAACTTGTTCGGATACAGTTGTTCAGTCAAAATGTACGGTAACTTATGTTTCTGAATTTACCTTATTTATGTGGTGGATATTGATGGCTAGGAACGTATGCCATGTCGCTTTGAAATACCCGCCGCCGTTATATAAAGTCAATTCCAGCTCCTTGCATGTTATGTTGTCATCGCGTTCTGTTACACAACATGTATTTTGTTTCGAAATACCGCACACACACACACACACACCCACATATATATATATATATATATATATATATATATATATATATATATATATATATATTCTGTATTTGGAATGAACGAATTGGCAACATTGCAGATTTGCAAAAAATAATGAATGATTTAGATCTAAATATCAAATTCACAATTGAAACGAACGATCTGCAAATCGCATTCTTGGACGTTCTAGTGAAACGAAGGGGAGAACTCCTTATAACGGATATGTATTCTAAAGAAACAGATACCAAAAACTATCTTTCATATAAATCATGTCACCCACGCCATACCAAAAATAATATACCATTTTCTTTAGCTAGAAAAATATGCACCATTGTGATAGATGAAGACCTCCGGGTTGTCAGATTAGGTGAGCTAAAAAGAAATTTATTGAAACAGTATTACCCTCTCAAAGTAATAGAAGTTGGGATAAATAAGGCTTTGGCAATTAATATTCAAAGACTGAGGGCTACTACTCATAACCCCCAACATCCCAACTTCTTTAAAACAATGTACGAGAGTAGGGCAATCCTGGCATCAAACGACAACCTCAGAATTAAATTTGATAAGGTTCAATCCATTAAATCACAAAGACAGCCACCTAATCTGAAGCGTCTCCTAACCAAAGCAAAATTCAATTCATCTATCACAAGGACCGGCTTTTATGTATCTAAATGCCCGGATCTTCGATGTAAATGTTGCGACCATATTACGCCAAATAGCAAATATAATTTTCCTAAGTTTACATTTAGTGTCAACGACAATATGAATTGTGACACAAAAAATCTCATATATGTCTTGACTTGCAATGGGTGTCTAAATTTTTACATAGGGGAGACGTCCACGCATCTACGGGATAGAGTACGCAACCATCGACGGGATTGTAATATTGAAAATGGGCCCTTATTTGTAAATATACATATTTTTAAATGTGCACAACACCTACAAGTAAAATTCCAAATTTTCCCTTTTTATAAAATGAAAGTCGATGACACCACGAAAAGGAAATTAATGGAAAACCATTTTATTAAAAAATATGTTCCTCGACTTAATAGTCAATAAGTAACAATTGGCCATTAGCTTCATTAATTTTCTTAAATCTATCCCATGATTATCTTAAACTCATCGTTCATAAATTGAACCCCATATACTACAGATTAACACATGTGTGTACATGTTTCTATTAGTTAACGATATACTATGTAACCATAGACAATGGTAACTATAGCCAATTAAAACTACAGTGTTAATATGTAAATATGTATAAATATACTATACTGTCCATCTTTATACAATTACATTATTTATGAATAGTCCCAAGACGGACGAAAAGTACTTTAAAATGTTAAAATGTTATTAAACCAGTGCTGAAATCAGTTTGTGTCGGCATACCTTTTTTTATCTTTTCATCATTTACCGTGAAACAAAGTAGTGCAGCTTTGCGGTTGTGCTAATAATTTTGGATATATATATATATACGTAAAATAGAGTAAATGCGTCCATTCTAGATAGTTATTTTATTACTGACATGTTTCATATAATTTTCAAAGTAATGTAGGTAACTAGGTATAGAAACAATAGTGTGACGTAATTACGTCATTATAATGGAGAATAATAAATATATTATGTGAATGGGTTCAAATCAAACCATTTAATTTCGGTTTATATTTATCGATGAAATATTTTTCTTTGATCCCCATTCGTATATTATCAGATGTAAACATTTTATTGGGTGGATATACGACAAAATTAGGGTTTTTATCCTTCGCACAGGTATCAATATAAGCACTTAATGGGATCATTCTTGTTTTGGGGTCCCTTATTTGTTGTCTATGTACATTCATTCTATTTCTGAGATTGTTCGTACACCCGATATAGTTTTCACCACATCCACAACAAGTGATAACATATATTAAATAATTGACGTTACATGTCATATTGGTTTTGACATTGAACATAGGTCCATTTTTGAAAGTGAAATTTGTGCCTTCTAATATGTAATTACATAACCCGCATCGTTTACCATTACATTTGGTTACTTTGTAGACTGTATGTACGTCTTGGGTTACGAATTTGGCTTTTGTTAATATTTGTTTCAAGTTCTTTGGCTGTCTCTTGGATTTAATATATGTTACCCCCTGCATTACCGATCTCATCCTGTCACTTTTTGATAAAATTGCCAATGTCAAAACCAATATGACATGTAACGTCAATTATTTAATATATGTTATCACTTGTTGTGGATGTGGTGAAAACTATATCGGGTGTACGAACAATCTCAGAAATAGAATGAATGTACATAGACAACAAATAAGGGACCCCAAAACAAGAATGATCCCATTAAGTGCACATATTGATACCTGTGCGAAGGATAAAAACCCTAATTTTGTCGTATATCCACTCTATAAAATGTTTACATCTGATAAAATACGAATGGGGATCAAAGAAAAATATTTCATCGATAAATATAAACCGAATTAAATGGTTTGATTTGAACCCATTCACATAATATATTATTCTCCATTATAATGACGTAATTACGTCACACTATTGTTTATATACCTAGTTACCTACATTACTTTGAAAATTATATGAAACATGTCAGTAATAAAATAACTATCTAGAATGGACGCATTTACTCTATTTTACGTATATTATCTACTTCTAATGGAATCTTCTAACTACTTATATATATATATATATATATATATATATATATATATATTATATATATATATATATATATATATATATATATATATATACCGCCTGGAACGATAAACTCGGTTTAACGTCCACTCGGCATTAACTGGGTCATTACGGGATTAGTGCTTCAATTTTATTTCATTAATTAGCTTGCGCGTTGGGGGCTTTAGCAGTGGGAAGAAACCGGAGGACACCTACGAGGTTGGCCAGACGAATTTACTCCTTGTGACCTACAAGCGGGAAATCGAAACAACGCCACTTGACTAATTGACCGACTTTATCTTAACGGGACTGGTGACTGGATATTCCAGAGAGTCTGATAAATTCAGATTTATAATTATTACGCGTTTGTAAATTTTAGATGGAGCTTGTGGGAAAATGGTCGGCGGTAGATGGTTTAAAGTTGGAACCAATTCTATCAAATTATCCAAAAATCAGAAAATCCATCAAAAATAAATTAAACAGTGAGAAAGGTCTGGAAGATAGTACTTATATATACTATAATTACTATTACATCGTTCCTGTTGTCTTCTCGGATTCAGATAAATGGAACTTAGAAGAAGAAATGTGGTCACTGGGTAAGAACATTAAAGTGATCTGATAGAAACTTTGGGTCGTTTGTTAATTATTGGATGTGCATGCGTGATAAAAGTTGTTCATATTTCATAATCACCACAATATCTTCATAAATATGCGAACTATATTTGCCACGAATTGAACCATGACAAGAAAGAGTACTAAAACCAAGCAAATTTATCCATGCACTACCTTTGCTGATATTTGTGAAAGTATGATAGCAATGTCATGTTTATACCCTGGACCTTGGAAGGATGTCCGACATGAAGAGTTCACCTCCACATTCAGCACACATAGCACCATCTTCTCTATTTCGAGAATAGATCTCTGTCCTAAATGATCGCCACATCCAACAATTAGTATACTGTTTTGTGAGAGAGATACAGAGAGAGAAATGGGGTTTAACGTCCACTCGACACAAACTAGGTCATTTCGGGACTAACATATGTTTTTTATGTTTTTTTATTTCAATAATTCGCTTGCGCGTAGGGGTCTTCAGTAGTGGGAGGAAACCGGAGGACCCGGAGAAAACCCACGAAGTTGGACAGGCGACCCTACTCCTTGTCACGTACAACCGAGGATTCGAAACCACGTCAGTTGACTCAATGACAGGCTTTATGATACAGCGCGCACGTGCTTACCATTCGGCCATCCAACCCCCCTATACTGTTTTGTAATGCGGCCCTACTCCGATCCACATCTGCTATAAACAAAAAACTCGTTAAACCTTTTCAATGAAAGCAGACTATATGTTTCTCCAAATTCTCGAAATATACCTAGTGTTTTTAACCAAAATCGTCGATTTAGGATTCAAAATGTCGGTCAACTAGCTTAGTGTCTGTTTTTAAGCGGATCTAAGTGTACACAGATTGCATAAGTTTAATATGCACTGCCCAGTGTTCTTTGATTACCATTGTTTGTATTTAGATCTCTTGATTTATAATATTACACATTATTGTATTTAACAGATTCTGTGATCATCAGAAAGAAAGAAAGTCAAGGATTCTTGAAATATTTTAATACTTCTACAAGTAGCAACAAGGTAAGAACAAAAAGTATACAGAAAACCTTTTTGAAAGATAGTCGTCACTCTGACCGTACACTGAATCTTGTGTTTTGAACATATTGGACGACTTTCAGTAATTCGGATGCTTGGATATGGCCCTGGCTCACTCTGATCTCATAGCAAACTGTATTTGATTGTAGCTTACTTCATATAGTTTTTGGTTTTTGAATTTCAGCAAATTCAAACAAAATCGAAGTTATCGAGCTTCATCAAAGTCTCGGCCAATGAAATTGCTTATTGTTCTGCTCGTTCGTTCGTTCCTGGGGGTTTTATTTGCTCCACCTGGTGTGATATCGCAGACAAGATTGTTCTGCTTACACTGCGTATTGGTGTAATGAAACTGTACGCCAAATTGATAAGAATCAAAGTCATCGTGTCCCAAATCACTGACTAATCACATTGTTTTCCGCTCAGCCTGAGTCAGCCAACGTGTGATCATCTTCAAACTCCGCGAAGTCATTCAACTAATAAACACCTAAATTAATTAGGAGAGTTACTGTGTCCCAAACTATGTGACAGCCAGACAGACAGTGCCCGAGCAGAGCGTGCTCATCTCAAACCCTATCAAGGCATTCGCAAAATAAACATCTACACCAAATTTGGACATTGTAGCTCATTTAGAAGGAAAGTAATTGTGTCCGAACTCAATGAAAAGGCGAGTTATTGGTCTTAAAACGTGAAACTGACAGACATACGGATGGACGGGCAGGTGCTACGGCATAATACGTCTGCATAAATTTTGGTTGTAAAAGCACATAGTGATACGCAACAAGATCCATACACACCCAATCCATGCATACATAACTCACACAAAGCAAGCTCTTGCCATTTTATCGGTTTCCAAATATATTTGAGGCTGATATCGGTTCGAAATATACTTGGGCCAATAGTAAATAATACCAAATACATCTTAATATATTTTTCAAAGTCAGTCTGCATTAGTAGCTGCCAGAAAGTTAAATGAACTAATTAATTAGTTGTTTTGAAATAATTATTTTAAAACAAACGGAAAGAGAATTTGGAGAACAAAAACGCTTGAAATAAAATAACATTTTATTAATCTCTATCCTACTGTATTCCAGAAACTGTGTGATTGTGTGCCGGACAATTCGAGAATAATTACTGGTAGTTGGGAGTTCAAAATGTGGTCATGGATGGAAAAGCATCATCTAGGTACAGTGGACATTCCTTAATTAATGTTTCAACATATGGTTAGATACACTGAAAAACACAAGTTAGGTGTCTCTATTTAACAACACAAACTTGTGTTGAAACAACACAAACTTGTGTTTAATGTTGAAACAACACAAAACTTATGTCTAAAATTTATCAAACAACACAAACTTGTGTGAAAATTTACACATTACTTGTGTTAAAATTTCTGAAACTTGTGTTAAAATTTCTTAAACTTGTGTTGAAATTTCTGAAACTTGTGTTGTTTCCTACAAATAACCACCAACAAAAACTTGTGTTGTATTTTACCAATTTACATCCAGTATTGCAACCTTTCCCATGCAACCTCCTTCATTTGTTCTGTTTAAACTGTAATGTTTGATAAATGACATAACAATAATTATGTTTGTTAAATTATTATCAATAAATGATATGAAAAATTAAATTAATGCCAAATTAATACTAATACAGACATCTCGAAGGTTAATAAACAAAGTTAATTCCAATACCAATAAAATTGTGTTATACAATGAAAAAATACCCCCCACCCACCCCCATTCCCAATTATTATTTAAAAAGTAGGTGTTTAAATTGAAAATAAAACAAGCACTGAGACATTTGGAAAATTAAAAAAACAAAGTTTATTCCAATACTAATAAAATTGTCGTCAATAATAACAATATCCCCCACCCCCAATCTAAAAATAAAAAGCTATTTAATTTTTTTTTTTGCAATTAACCTTAAAAAGAACTCAGAATATAATATATATGTACATAATATCCCTACCCCATGCTCCCAAAACATCCATTTTAAATATATCTAAATTTAACATCAACCAAACCAAGCACTAAAGACATTAATTATGCACTAAATTGAAATATTCCCTTTAACAGATTGGGAATTCAAAATTTTCTACAGCACATAAAAGGGAACTAATAGATAAGGTACAGGACAAAGAATTATAGATAGATGAAATAGATATAGCATAAAAATCAAATAAAATGGAGAAATTTATAAAAAATTGTAAAACAAAAATTGATGAATAAAAGCATTCCATATAAAAGAGGCATTGACATTCGAAATGTTCACTAAACTTTTAAAAATAAAGGTTGATTTCATCCTACAATAATACATTTTTTATAATTATCGACTTTTACTATTAGTTATTGATGATCCCTCTATAATATTTCAAGTTTTCAGGCCAAATTCTTAGTGTTTAGGATTACATTGCCGTCTATATAATGAAAAAATATTTAGAGATGGTTTGGTATTTGACATTAAAAACCAAAAAAGTGATTAAAAAGGCAATGGTGACATATAACTTTTGGGTTTCCACAATAAGATCTATAAAAGAATTTGATGAATTTATATTCAGAATTTAGAGTTTCCAGGGATGTTCAAGTCTGAAAAATATAAAGTGATGATTATAAATACACTTATCGACAAATGGGGTTTTGATTTGGGTTTACTTGGTTATTGAAATGACAGAATAAAAGTAAATTAACTCTCTGAGTCGTGGGGCATGGGGCGGGGGGCATGGGGCTGGGGCGGGGGGGTTGAAAAGAGCATAATTTAACAATAGATATTATTTTGAGACTCATATGTATGGCTATATGCAGTAAAGCAGTATTATTGCTTATAACTCCTCCTCAAACACAAATCACATGCATCACCAAGTTTTTCATTGAACCAAATGGTCAGTTTGATGGCATAATATGAGTCTAGAACCACACCAAGTAATTATCCAAATACCTATGATCATTTTAAGTTTACATCTGTTTCTGATGATTACTCACCCGATTTTCTGTGAACAAAATAACGTAATAGCAAGTGTATAAATGTTTTTTGTACAGTCTGTACACAGTAACATATCTGAGAACCATATTAAACCTTGCTTAGTTTTTGTTACCTGGGTATTTAAAAAGTCTTACCTTTTATTATCATTTCTGCTCAAGACTTCCTTTACCATATAGTTTGCAGTGATGCAAGGCAATTACCAATTTTCCATGTTCTTGGCCTTAAGAAAGAAAATAATAAAAGTCAAGTTTTTATTATTATGCAAGTGGATAAATACAATTCTTCGTGGTATGATTTGAATAGATACAACTGATTTGTAGTTTGGATTATTATTTGTCTAAAACAACTGGGCATTTACAAATTGAAATAGCTACTCTTCATAAAGAAAACATATGAATATTTCCCAATTCACCTGGATTTTATTGTATGTCTTTGTACGTGAAATAGCTTTATTTAACGCCCGCTTCCACCGAAGTGATATCGCAGACAATTAACGAATTCAGATTCCATTTTAAAGGAATAAGACTGCACTATCGCTGGATTGTATTTCTAAAATCTACTGCAATCTGAAAATCTACATGAATATAGTTCATATCAGTTTTTCAAAATGGCGCCCTGAACAACGGACTAAGTTTTTTAATCGATACTAATCCAGGAAGGAATTACCAAACTGCTTGATAATACAGTTAACATGTGCAGTACCATAGGGTTTAATATCGCAAAATTACGTCCTGTCATATTTTCATTTTTTATCATAGCTTGATAATGACTAGAGAAGCCTAGTCGAAACGTCGCTCAGTAAAAAGCAGTAATTGTATTCCATAGAATTGTGACCTGTATACTCTAGTTCAATTACTAAATGCCATTGAAACAATAAATATTTCCTCCTTTTTTTAAGAGTAATTCATTTTAATTGGTCATTTACAGGTAAGAATAAATGTCCAGTTTCGATTAATGAACCAATTAAATTAAATAAAAAGATTAACTCGACTATTTCCAGACGATATCAATCAGACACTTCCAAATGCAAAAAATGTAATAACCTGTCTCTGTATATTGTCTGAGACAAGCTGTGAAAATAAACAGAGAGTAGAATCAGAATAATCTTTTATTATGTCTAATTAAATAAATAGTTTATAATTAGATAATAATTGATTAATAACTTCAATCTTTTTATATCAATATACTGTTATAATAAAAATAAAATAAAACCAAGTACGAACAATCCAAACCATTAGACTGAATTCACAGTCCTTAAAATTGTATATAGGCAAAATACGTTGTTTTAAAAGAGATATTAAAAGCATCGCACGATACATACATGGCGACTTAAAATGTTTGTAATAATTAAAATAAGGTTTTAGATAATCAGAAATATTACAAAATAAAGCAAGTGAATTACTCGACATTTAAATTCAGGAAGCGTGGTTTTACATATAGGCTAAGCCAGATCCCTAATCCAGTTCACCAATCCCATTCAGATTTTCTCAATAAATAAAAATCATAATGTGATAAAGTAACATAATAAATGTTATCTTAAATGTCGACGTTATTAATTGTATGAAAAAAACCACACACACAAGATTTTATAAATCTACACAAGTTTGTGTTAAGACATTGAAAAGAACACAAATTTGTGTCATTGCAATGTAATACAACACAAACTTGTGTAAAATATATTTGACACAAGCCCATGTGTTGAGATCCAACACAAGAGTTTTTCAGTGTATGTCAAATGTGCTATTGCAGTTCCGGTTTGTAAAAATTGCCGCATTGAGGAAAGGCTACTTTTTAGCGTACAATCTGCGCGAAACATGATTACAGTTCTTACCAATTAACAATACTTCAAGTTCAATGCTTCGATGCAGAATTTTGTCATTCGGATTTTATGACACATGGGCGGCAATGCGGCATCTAACAAATTATTGGTTTGTTTATCGTGTCTCAAATTCTGCTTTCCACCTAATATACTATGGAAGTCTATAACTACCATTCCTAATTTTTACTTTTCGCCTCTTCAGAACACGAAAGTCGAAAAGTAGAAGTTACGACAAAATGTGAGGCGACAAGACGGTATACAAGCCAAAATCAACTCGAAAATAGGAAATTAAGAAATAACACACCGCGATAATAGCGCCCCCCCCCCCCGTTTTTTTCTTAATTTCTACTTTTCGACTTGCATTTTGGCTTGTATACCGTCTTGTCGACTTTCGACTTAGTCATATTTTTGTATTTATTGATGTCAGTAAGAAGGCGCCAACACGCTATACAAGCCAAAATGCAACTCGAAAAGTAGAAATTATGAAATTAACACACTGCGCTATTAGCGACCTATGATCTGTCGTACTGTCGACTTTTCTACTTTTCGCCTAGGAAGTTGTTGTAGTCTTTGCCTTCCAGGTCACATTTGAATTCGCGCAATTCCCGTTAACAAAAATGTGTGTGATAGAGTCTAGTAATGATGGCGATTATTTTATTAATATCTCGATCAAGCTTGGATTGTAAGTTTTATAATAATACTGACGACTGTATAATTTAATTTCCCATCGCCAACACTGATTACATTGTAAAGACTGGTTTAGAATTTTAATTTGCATAATACTAGACTCTATCACACAGACATTTTTGTTAACGGGAATTGCGCGTATTCAAATGTGACCTGGAAGGCAGAGACTACAACAACTTCCTAGGCGAAAAGTAGAAAAGTCGAAAAGTCGACAGTATGACAGATCATAGGTCGCTTATAGCGCAGTGTGTTAATTTCATAATTTCTACTTTTCGAGTTGCATTTTGGCTTGTATAGTGTGTTGGCGCCTTCTTACTGACATCAATAAATACAAAAATATGACTAAGTCGAAAGTCGACAAGACGGTATACAAGCCAAAATGCAAGTCGAAAAGTAGAAATTAAGAAAAAACGGGGGCGCTATTTTCGCGGTGTGTTATTTCTTAATTTCCTATTTTCGAGTTGATTTTGGCTTGTATACCGTCTTGTCGCCGCACATTTTGTCGTAACTTCTACTTTTCGACTTTCGTGTTCTGAAGAGGCGAAAAGTAGAAATTAGGAATGGTAGTTATAGGCTTCCATAATATACAGATATCAAGAAATGATTAAGCCTACATCGCTACGCTTACAGCTAGTTGCCGGAGACATCCACTTGTCTGATATATACGTTTGTTTGAAATATCGGTATATATTATGGCCCTGCCGATAGGATTCAAATGTACAACTGTTTAAGTGAGTGTGGTCCTCCTGCACTTACTATGTAGGTATCACCATTTTTAATTCTCTTTATGATATATAGTGTGATGTATGACTTAATATGCCAATTATAAGATGTATTGGTGTTCTCTAAATCGTCTTATGTTCTTTGGAATACATGCAATTCAGATTTTTTGCACACAGGAATCGGTGGATATGCTAGAGGACCACCCAGCAAATTTATGCTTTCACGGAATAAGAAAAGTCGTAAGCATGAGGTAAGGATAAAGTATTAGTTTTGTTATGTTTTAGAGAGACTTCTTATAATGTTTAGAGGAATGCAGTAACATGATAGAGCAATAAATTAAAACACAGCCTTATAGAAGAACAAATTTTACTATTTCATTTTAGAGACATTTCTAATAGTATTCTCTCAATGTTTTCAAGCAAGTATAATTGAAGAGATTTTTCCAGAAAATCTGAACTTGTTCGGATACAGTTGTTCAGTCAAAATGTTCGGTAACTTATGTTTCTGAATTTACCTCATTTATGTGGTTGGTATTTGTGGCTAGGAACGTATGCCATGTCGCTTATAAATAGCCAGCTTCTTGTTATGTTGTCATGGCGAAATTCGCGTATTGTTACACCACATGTATTTTGTTTCGAAATACCGGAAACATTAGCTCCAGGAACAATAAAGTCGGTTTAACGTCCACTTGACACAAATTGGGTGATTACGGAACTAATGGTTAAATTTTATTTCATTTATTATCTTGCGCGTAGGGGTCTTTAGAAGTGGGAGGGAACCAGAAAACGCGGGGAAAACCCACTAAGTTGGACAGAGGACCAAACTCCCTTGTCAGGTACAATCGAAGCAACGCGATTTGACTAAATTATAGACCTTATGAAAGCGGGGCTGGTGATTAAATTTACCAGAGAATCTGATAAATCCAGGTTTATAATTATTACGTGTTTTAGATGGAGCTAGTGGGAGAATGGTCGGCGGTAGATGGTTTAAAGTTGGAACCAATTCTATCAAATTATCCAAAAATCAGAAAATCCATCAAAAATAAATTAAACAGTGAGAAAGGTCTGGAAGATAGTACTTATATATACTATGATTGCAATTATATGGTTCCGGTCGTCTTCACGGATTCAGATAAATGGAACTTAGAAGAAGAAATGTGGTCACTGGGTAAGTACATTAAAGTTACCTGATAAAAACTCTATCTAGGTCGTTTGTTAATTATTAGATGTGCATGCGTGATAAAAGTTATTCATATTTCATAATCACCACAATATCTTCATTGTGTTAAGTTTTAAGATTTGCGATCTATATTTGCCCCTAAATGAATCATGACAAGAAAGAGTACTAAACCCAAGCAAATTTATCCATGCGCCACCTTTGCTGATATTTGTGAAAGTATGATAGCAATGTCATGTTTTTACCCCGGACCTTGAAAGGATGTCCGACATGGAGAGATCGCCTCCACATTCAGCACCCATAGCACCATCTTCTCTATTTCGAGAATAGATCTCTGTCCTAAGTGACCGCTACATCCAACAATTAGTATACTGTTTTGTAATGTGGCCCTACTCCGGTCCACATCTGATACACACAAAAAACTCATTAAACCATTTCAATGAAAGCAGAATATATATGCTTCTCAAAATTCTCGAAATATACCTAGTGTTTCGGACGGAAATCGACAATTTAGGGTTTAAAATGTCGGTCAACTAGCTTAGTGTCTGTTCTTAAGCGGAGTTAACAGACAACGTAAGTTTAATATGCACTGCCCACTCTTAACATTAAAATGATCACCATTGTTTGTATTTAGATCTCTTGATTTATAATATTACACATTATTGTATTTAACAGATTCTGTGATCATCAGAAAGAAAGAAAGTCAAGAATTCTTGAAATATTTTATTACTTCTACACGTAACAGCAAGGTAAGGACAAAACGTATTCAGAAAACCTTTTTGAAAGATAGTCGTCACTCTAACCGTACACTGAATCTTGTGTTTTGAACATATTTGAAGACTTTCAGTAATTCGGATGCTTGGATATATCCCTGGCTTACTCTGTTCACACAGGTAACTACAACGTACGTCCTTATAAATAATTAGCCATCTTGCTACAGAAAGAAAAACGTTATACTCGATTGTAGTTGATTGTAGCTTAATATAGCATATAGTTTTTGAATTTCAGAAAGGTCGGTTGGGGAAAATGACAAAGAAACATGAATTCCAGTCTGATCAAGATTCATCATCTTTTCCAAATATCTTACGTTTTGTCGAGCACCAATTAAAAGAGCCGAAAAACAATGACTGTTATATTCATTTGTATTTCGATGTGAGTTACGGAAATGTACACTGCGATACAGAAACCTTCAAGTTGGAAACAGAACTGATATCACTACGTATGTAAACATTTTTTTATTATGCTAATGACTTAATGTTTCGATTAATGGATTTTTTGTAACTTGACAACTATTTATATATAAAATCTATCAATAAATGGAATATTATATATGATAATGAAAAATACGTTATGGAAGATTAGATAAAGAGCTGGCAGTTCTCACTATAATTGTAGACAACTAGAGGAATATGTTGAAATTTTCAGTCAAATTGCTTCGCTCCAAGCTGGGAAACATTATTTTACAACCACTGTAGCTTTGATCGTCATTGTTATCGCTGTCACAAAATCTCGATTACCATGTTTTCCGGCCAATCAATTGTGGTGATTACACAGCCGATCGGACGCATAAGATGGCATTGAGCGTTGGTGTGGTCTTTTCATGTTAAAACATGTCTAATTAATAGTTAATATAACATTTCATGCCTAAAGAAAGGCCTGCAATAGGCAGATTTAGCTCTTGCATAATGTATATTTAATTATGGGTTTTGAATCGTTTTAAAGGTAGATGTATATTTTCGTTGGCCTAACCTGCGTAGACTTAAATTAAAACAACAAAAATGAAACGAGAAATAAACAAAACAAGACATTAATTTTACTGCAGAGAATAGTGTATGTCTTTATTTTAAGCAAGATACACAAAATATTTGGTGCACTGAAACACAAACATAAACGAAACGAAAGGAAAATATGTGCTGTTCATATACAAGGAATATTTAAAAACATTCATCGAAAAGGCTTCGAAATAAAGTAACCTGCGGGGCGGCGTTGCCGTTGATTTGACCTTCCCTACAACACTCCTGTATGATCAGAAGTATTGTCACAGATTCTGATTTGATAAAAATTCGCGGGTAATCCCTACTTCAAACGTTACGATGTCTTCACCTTGCCACCCCCACCCCCCGGCTGCTCAAATTCCTTTACACCCTCTATGTAAAGATTCATTTAAATTTACGAGTGAGGTTGACACGACCCCATTTCCCCTAAGCCATACTTAAATTATTGTTTAAAGGAAAAACATGTCATTATTATTTTAAGGAGAGAAGTTGCTACATTCTGTTTCAACATCAAATCCCAATTACAGGTATGGCTCTGTACTCGTTTTTTTGGCCCCTTTATTAATTCGAGTACTTCGGCTATGGTAAGTATACTTAAAGAATCAAATCTGTTTATTTATTTATTTATTTGAGAGGAAACAATGTAATTTATACCCCCGCCCCAAAACAAAAAAAAACCCAAAAAAAACCAGACCAAGTACAGAATCATGAGCGTAAAAAATAAAGTTACTGACTAGGCTTTTATAGAAAAGAATTGCAGTATTTTCTTTCATTTTTGATCTTGGATCTTAGGACTTCAAATATTTATTCCATTTAAGCACTACCATAAAAATACAAATAGCGGTGTTCTTGATGTTAGTGGGTCCAGTGACAACAGATGTGTTACCAGGTATTTATCTTGTATTAACAGTAGTATAATTAATTTGAGCCCAGTTGGTGCATACAAGTGGGACTTGAAATCACATTTTATTTGTAAAATTAATCAAATGTCAACAACCTTAATCTGAAACTGGATACCTCTAACACAAAGAGGCTTGTGTAATGGCTATTCACGGCGAATCGATATTATTATATACTGACCATGGAACCGTTATTTTTTCTTAATATGCTGGTAGCCAACCAAGGTGGTTCAGTAAGAAAGACTGTCTCGCACATCAGGGGGTTTCATGTGCGGTGCCATGTCAGTGGTGCAGGGTGGGGGTCTGTGTATTACAGTGTCTAGTCATTCGGATTGTACGGAAAACCGGACCCCGAGTACACGTTTGTATGCACGTAAAACAGCCATTGCCAGATGGAATTCGAAATAAATGTAGGCCGTATCCCAGTCGGTGCAGGAAAGTAGGATGCAAAATCTTGTTTCATTTTGTAATGGCCATTCAAGGCAAACTTATATAATTATATACAGTCTATGTACCTCAATATCCGTAACGTTCATGGATATCAACTCTATATATCTATCTGTTTGTCAGATTTCATAGACATAGATATTGTATCTGCTTATATATTTTAGATTCTGTGTTCGAGTGGAAAAATACAACAAATCCTGTTATCAGTACTATGCGTCAAAGAATTGCCCTGGAGTGGAAATATGAATCTAAAGAACCTGTCAGTAGCATGGTCTTTACACGTTTTAGGAACAGCGCGGATCATAAAGTAAGGCCAACTAAATCAATATAACAAAATAATTATAATAAAAATTGGTATGAAATGAAATGGAGTTTAACTCCAACTGTTCTGCTCTGACTGGGCTAATGAAGACCGGTATACGCCATACATTGTCCTATGTAAGTCATGTTGCCCGGACAACGGCGCTGCTGCCTACTCTTATATCGAATTCCAAATGCCAAGTGCACGCCAATGTGTACACGGGACCTCGATTTTTCGTCCCATCCCAACAACAACACGTTGTCCCTTGCCATGCTCTCGGGCCTGTACCATTGACAAGGAGGAACCATCCTGGAAAATTCTAATGAACTTACACGGCGAACACAGGGATCGAACACAGAACCTTTAGATAAGCGAGCCACCGTGACTCCCCACAAAAGTTTAAGATGTGATTAAATATAGTTTGCCCTATTGCGATTGATTGAAACCATTTTTCCCCAAATATAGTATCTTACACGTTTCGACTTAATGTTGAACGATAGAAAAGTATGTTAGATTTAACGGGATTATATCGATCTCTTGATATTTATTCAGATAATGCCAGAGGACTCGGTCATCGTATAGTGAGTGTATAGAAGTAGAATGTGTATGTGTATGTGATTCTGTGTGTGGTATGCGTAATTGATAACATTGGTAGATATGTATAAATGGTTCTATGTGTAAATGATTGCAGGTTCCTGTAGGAAAATGGACAAAGGAAGAGGGGTTCAAACCAGATCCCTTCATATCAACTGAATTGAACCTTGTTACAGTTCACATAAACGGGACGAATGAGAAGAAAGTATCTTTGATACTAGAAAATCCTATCCATATAGACTACGACCTCCAGTACAACTGTCAAGTGAACTGTGGCGATCCATTACCAAGGAATAATATGTCAATTGAATTGAGAGCGCTGAGTAAGTGACAGTAATCTAGTCTAAGTACTGTACATGTATATTATAGAGGTCGTACAAAATTCAAAATGTGATCTGTTCAACTATAGTAAGAAAATCGTGAGTAGTAGACAATCAAAAGTTGAAAATAGAAATCCGGTCGATGGAAGTCGAATTATTACGATTTAAAGATGAACGATTTTACAGATTACTATAGGTGTCCACCGTGAAAATGACCTTTTATAAACGAATTTACGTTTTTTTACTCTCATCTCTTCTATAACATATTGGGCCACAGTAGTAATTGAATAGAGTGCATATGCTTAGTCAATCTGTTGGCATGGAATGTAGGTTTAAACTGGAAGTAAAACTATCAAGTTTATACCTCTACCTGACGCGTGATCCGCCATGCTGGACGAAATATAAAAATGAATGCTTTAACATGCATTTAGATAAAACTATTTCCATTAAATAAATTGTTATCGCCTTGTTTTCTTTCAACTGGTTTAGATATTTACATTATTTCACGAAAGTCCTTAACTATTAATGTAAATATGTGTTTTTCGTTTCTCATAACGCTATATATTAATATGATTGTCGAAAATTGAATATGAATAGAAACTAACCTCTACTTTTTCTACTTTAGCGCTTCCTCGTTCTTGATTCCCGAAAGGACCCCTTGCCTATCCAAATATTCCGACGGTTTTAATTGAAATTGATATTTGAATTATTTTCATGTAGATTTTAAAATAATAATTACATAAACAATATCATGTGGGAGTAATCATCTCTCATACAGTGCTTAGTGGCTGACCTTGCTTAGTGGCTGACCGGGAAATAAGCCCCACTATGTAGGATTATCGAGCTCTAAATCGCAACATGAACCCTACTTCGTTGTTGGGTTATGAAAGGATTACCTGATGTTTATTTAAATGACACATATTAATGCAAATTTATTTTCCAGAACCAAAATGGACAGATTATGAAGTTGGAAAAAATGCAACGTTGGGACAAGACGTTACTTTTATGTTGGAATATAAATATCCATTTAAAGCGATTGCTGTGTTTATAAGACGAGAAAACAACAGTAACAGTGAAATGGTGAAACTAAATATACATTTAATTGAAGATACATTATGGGAGATTAGATAACGAGTTGGCAATGCTCACTATAATAGTTAAAAACTAGATAATGTAAAGGCAATTTGCTGAAAATTTCAGTCAAATTGATCCACTATGAACCGAGATTTAGCAATTGAATATTGGGGTTAGCCTCGATCATCATTACTAAAGTCGGTAGGATAAAAAAATATAGTCTCGATTATCCAGGTTTTTAAATTTATTATAAATTAACGAACAGCAAATCAGATCGTAATCCAATACTCATGGCAAGCTAGCTATGCCATCGAGAGTTGATTATGGTCTGGATAAGTTAATTAATGTCTAATTAATAATTTAGATTACATTTCAGGCCTAATGAAAGACCTGCAATAGGCGGATTTAGCTCTTGCATAATGTATGTTTAATTAACATTCCAGAAATGAAATAAAATGAGGTTTAATGTCATACTCAACTGCTCCGCCATACAATGTTGCTTGACAGAAGCCCTACGGCGTACTTTTATTTTGAATTCCAACTGTCAAGGACACACCAATGTTGTCCCTTGCCAGACCCTCCTGTCCTGTACCATGCCAGAAAATCCCGATGAACTTTCTCGGTTAACGCAAGAATCGAACACAAGACCTCCAGGATAGAGGCCCAACATCCTATCAACTGAGCCACTACGGGTCCCTAATTAACATCCCAGATATTTTCTTTTATATGTAAGGTGTTAAACGGCGGCGGGTGCAATCAGATACTGTAAGCAATGTACAGTTCTTAACACTGCCTTCTATATCCTATGTGCCATTAGATAAATCACCCAAGTGTCTATGAAGCAGTGTGGATTTACAAGTGTTTCTATAGAGAAAGGTGTTCGTCGATGCCAATCCGATTTCGGTACGGTAGGAAGAAGGTAACATGGTGTTAGCTTGCCTAACCAGTTCACCTGAAATCCTCCAGAAGGACACTTTTCATTTTCAGTTACAGCCTTGTAGTAAATATATGTTATTTTAACAATATTTATGACACTGGCTAATCTCTTTTATATTTGTAAAGGGGGCAGTTTTAATTTGTTTGTTAAAGTCTATGTTGATCAATGGTTATTTGATGCACAAAATGTCGTTCAGGCTAGCAGGACTTTGGTTGACGTTTCACAGAAAAAGAGAGAGCGAAATAAGGTTTTTGCTCTGGGGGACCAGGAGAAAACCCACGAGGTTGGACAGGTGACACCACTCCTTGTCACCTACAAGCGGTTAATCGAAACCACGCCAATTGACTCAACGACAGACCTTATAAAACAACACACAAGCGTTAACCATTCGGCCACCCAACTCCCCTTTCACAGAAAAGGTGATCCATAATGTCACTACACCTTTGTTGCACGACACATATTTAATGAGTACTATATGTAATTACTGACCCCAACAAAAGCCCATTGTGACTACACCTGGCTGGTAAGGCCATTTTTAAAAGTCATATATGTTAAAAAGTGATGAGAATTTTAAATGTTTTTGAAGGTCGAGATAGGATATTGGTACCAGGATAAATTTACTGACCTGGGTCAGTTTATCAATAGAGCGAACGTTACAAAAACACCAAATGAAGATCAAACTGGTGAAAAGATCAGTCTAACATTGAAAAACGTCACAGTTGAAGATTTTGGATGGGAGTATGTCTGTCAGTTAACACTGGGTGATGGAGAGCAACTATTAACAAGAACAACATTGACAGGTAATCTACCCATAATTACAGTAATTTGTTGTACAGATATATGATGCTATTAAAGAGAATAGTGTAAATATATTGATGGGAATTAGTATAGTTGATATTAGTTGAAGTGTACCAAGGATTTGTAGCAACCTGTTAGTGATTTAGCAGTTGGTGCTAGGGTAAGTTGGCTTATTTCCATTTTCATTAGTTGTTGAATTTTACCATTTTTGTTTATAGAAATAGAAATGAAGTCGAACACCGTAATGTCTAGTAAAACACATTCACGAACATCAACAGCTGCCAGATCAACTGTTGATTACAGTACCATAATGTTACTTGTTATTGTCACCTCTGTTATCTCTCACATCTCACAGGACTAGTAAGTACATAATACTACTTGTTACTATTTCTCACGGGTAAGAATGCATAAAAACCAACATAGCCTAGCAGTACTATTATGGGGGTGTTGGGGGGGGGGGTGTGTTCTGATGCAGCAAAAACTATCGATACTGAAATGTAGTACTGATCATTACTTGATGAATGCGCTTTTCTCGTAGTCTTATTTACTTTTAACTGCATTCTTTCTGAATTCTTAACATCGTCTACGGGTCCGTGTCAACAACAGTGCCAATACTGTCAGCAGTCAATATTGCTATATGAACTCATCTAGCATTACTAAACAAAGCTACAATCAAAACGATATTTAATATAATTATGGTAGAGGGGCCCCGAGGATCGACATAAACATATTATTATACACGTGTGTGTTAACTTATACGTAACAACCCATATCTTTTGTTATTAGTGTTAGCTTCGTTCGGGGCCCCAAGATCTTCCTTTCTTGGACGCTTCCTTTCTTGTATGCGTATCCGGCTAACTTATATCGCCCGTTACTATTATTAAACTTAATTCCAGTTAAAGATACATTATGGGAGATAAGAGCTGGCAGTTCTCACTAACTATAAAAGTTAAAAACTAGATAATGTAAAGGCAACTTGCAAATTTCAGTCAAATTGATCTACTATCAACCGAGAATTAAGCGATTGAAATTTCGGCCTAACCTCGATCATCATTACTATGGTCTGTACGATAAAAAAACATAGTCTCGATCATCCATTTCATGATTAAATTATGAATGGAAGTCGTGCAGTAAATTGGATCATAATCCAGTAAATATCGCAGGCTAGGGATGCCATCGAGAGTTGATGGTCTGGATAAGTTATTTAATGTCTAATTAATAATTTAGATAACATTTCAGGCCTAAAGAAAGACCTGCAATTGGCAGATTTAGCTCTTGTATAATGTATGTTTAACCATTAATTGCAGTAAAACAGTCCAGCATTGATTTTTACTGTTAAACTAGTAAAAGATCTTTATATGACCTAAACCATTCACGGGGTCAACATTCATAAGGTCATTTGATACCACGTTATCACGTGTGTGTGTGTGTGGGGGGGGGGGGCGGGGTGCGGCGACTAAGCGTGATTTTCAGTTTATTTATATAGATTGAAGTAATTAACTGTGTTTCTATATTTCAGGGTTATCCAATACGGGTGATATTTATCTTAACATCACCATTGTTGTCTCTCTACTGGTGGATTTTCAGCTTTGTTACCTTCAAAATTAGTTAGGATATCGTGGCCCGAGGAGTAACTGGTTCTGTGTCCACGTTTCACTTATAGTGAAATAAATACTGGCATAAGAACTATCTGCGAATCAACGGGCTTTTATTTTGGGTTCGTCTAGCTCACAAAGTTATATGTCCACTTTCACCAATAGGAAATTGTCTGACAATGAAAATGGACATAGTAGAAAAGTATTGATTATTAGGCACCTTAAGTAAAATGTACAAGTTCAATATGGAGATGGTTTAGTTGACAAAAAGGCCCAATTTGCATTGCCTGCATGCTTTATGTAACGTTAACCCTTTCGATGCCAGACGTCCAGATTTCTAGACATAGGTTATTGTTAACTATAAAGGTTGTATGTTTAGTTCCCAGTACTGCTAATAGGTGGCTGACTGTCAGTTTGCCTGTTTTACTTTCGTTTTCGTTGGGAACTTGTGCAAATTGGACCAAAAACGTTGTTTTCGTCCTAAAAGGTCGTAATATTTATTAGAATATTATGAAATTGATGGAAACACTTCCTTTAAAACTATGTGATCAGACTTTCTTGAAGCACAAAATTATATATCCTCGCGGCTGACAAATTCATAAGATTTTGTAAACGACAAAGTCCAATCTCCATTTATCGTATTTAAGTTAGACCAAATTGAATTATATTGCATTTAGAAACACCACATACTCTGCTAGCTTCTTATATTGATAGCTTTCACAACTGTGAAAATTTGGTAAAACTTCATGTAGTTTCAAAATACACTGATGCCAAACTTCACACCCATTTTTCTCAATTTAATAAAAATGTGGACGAGTTAATCCTCAGCCCACGATATTTGATCCGTGACCATTTCTAGGGAAATAAGTTTTGACGACTGTTACCTTTGTTGTGAAAGGTTTATTTCATCTGATTTTACATACTTGAACTGTTTTTTCTCTAACACTTCTAATTATAAGCACTAATGGATTGGCAGCCGCCCCTGTATCATTAACTCTCTACACGCCACCGACATGGACACTGTGAAGGGACATATTTAGATATTGTGGACTTCATGATTATGTTAAAATTCATGATGGTATATAGCGAAATTCAGAACCTTTTTCCCGGATTATGCATGAGTAGCTTTAAAGAGAAATTTTGAGTTTAAATATTTCAAATTTGTCTTAAAGGTGCTCTTGCATAATCCTCTGGCAAGGTTCTGAATTTAGGTGCAACTTCTATTATACATCCTGCACACCTCAGGTCTATTTCCTGGCCAGTTTAACAAAACTAGACTAGCATCACACAGCATACCTACCAAATTTATTTGAAACCGATTAAAAGGGTTGGAGGAGTCGAAAATTTGCACGATCAAGGGGTGTCGTTACCTCAGAACTATAGGATCACTCAATGAGTAGCATCCATGTCAAGATTTATCAAAATTATTCATTTAATTTCAGACTAACTCGTATCTTTATCATCTTATATTAGGGTTATCCTTACCATATTTCAGAGCTATTTATTTAAAAGAATAAGAAGATTTTGTAAGATTACTTATTTTTGCCCCTTAAATCGGTTCGGGCTTGAGTGGGAATACTTTTTTAAAAGTCTATAAATGCCCCAATTTCGCAGCGGTCTCTATTCAGTGAATTACAATTGGAAGAATACAGTTTTGATTGTGTACCACGTGTATACTTCAATATCGTAAAACGGCAAAAGAGCTACATATCAATCCTACATTATACTGCATAAAGCCACCTTCACAAATATCGAAGACCTGGCTACATTCTTACTATGCGCAAAAGTGGTAAGGTCGCGATAAAAATCGGAAACCGCTCAAAGCGTAAAGACAACTATAATCTGAGTGCGCGGAAAATAACATAATTTTTACAGACTGTAGTCTTACAATAATTAAAAATTTGTGTAGGCTATAAGAATCACCAGTTGAAGACTAATGCCCGGCTTTCTCGTCGGCTACGAATGCTACGACTACCCCAAATCGCAATTAATCGAAATTTGTGGTGATTCGGCAAAAAAAAAATCAAAAAGATCGTAGAGAATCTAGAGTAGCACTCCGCTCTCAATGAATGATGTCGTTAAAGCTACAAAAGGGTTACGATGTTTGGCACTATTCGTCTAAGCAGGGGCGTGCTGGCCCCGAAGGGGCCCGTCGGTCACCCGCGCGCCGAAAGCGATCCGCTGATAGGGGGTCGGGGGCAGTTCTCCCCTCAGAAAATTTTTCAAATTTGACAACGGGAAACGCGTTTTTCAAGCACTTCTGGGAGAAATCTAATATATTCTACTAATCGTTGTGTATGTATGATATTTCGCGTGCGCACTCTCCATTTTTTTAGGTGATTCCGCGTGAAAATTAGAGCTCTCAGGGGGGGGGGGGGGCCGCTTATACGGGTGGACTTATTGTTTAATGCGGGCCTGGGAGGACACCGTCCTCCTAAACTCCCTGCCAGCACGCCCCTGCGTCTAAGAAGCGAATAGGACGCGCTTACGGACGATAAGAAAGGGCTAGCTACGACGAGTTTACCAAATTCCGTAGACCGTAAAAATAAAAAAAAGAATCACTCACGAACGTCAAGAATCGTCTACGTGTTATCTAAACTCGGATAAAAAGTTTTGAAAGCGGACCACGAAAGGTTTTGTTTCAAAAATCACTTATGCTAGGTTCCCACTATCACGATCCGCACTATGGTTGAAATCGTGGTTTTAATCGTGAAGTAATCGTGGTGACCCTATCAGGTCTTATTATATTGAGGTCAATCGTAGCGATTGTGTTGATCGTATCGAAACGTATCTGACCGTATCTGCACGTAACCGATCGTGGCGGAATTTCCATCATAACATATCGCACAACAGTGGGAACCTAGGATAAGGAACACCAAGAATAAGAAAAAAGTTTGGATTCGTAGCTAACTTGAAAGCGTGGCATTACATTGTGGGTCCCCAGTCCTAAAAAAAATGGAGGGAGATAATTTGTTTTATTTTATAATTATTATTATGTAGTATTTTATATAATCAATATATTATTTTAAATCATTTTATCACTCATTTAGACTTTTTAAATATTATTACGTTTTTTTTTAATGTAGTATTTTATATAATCAATAAATATATTTTATATAATCTTTAAATTGTTTTTTGAAACATCGTATCATTCATTAAGACTTTATGTTTCAAGACTTCCTGTATATGCTCTCGCTGGTCGTTGTATAGGGTAACATTTAAATTTGCTTTTAATTTGAGATGTGGCCGGTTGAATAACGGGTGAGATATGGTGGTTTATGATAAAAGGGTGGATATGGTGATTTTGGATAATGGTTGAGTTGATTGTCGGTTGGGGCGGGGGTGGGGTGGGAGGGTGGCCGAGCGGGGGGGGGGGGGCTGGATTCACTAGACTACGATATATTGTGATATCACGTGTTAAAGCGGGTAAACACGAGCCACGGGTCTGGCAGTAAAAAAGAAGTAAATGAAACTATTTTTACTTGAGTTTTTGTTTAATATCAGAAAAAATCGACTTTTCCGTTTTTTTCCGTGTGAGATTTCAAATTCCGTTTTGAGTACCGAATGTGTTAGTCCCGAAATGACATAGTTTGTGTCGAGTGAACGTTAAACTCTCTCTCTCTCTCTCTCTCTCTCTCTCTCTCTCCCTCTCTTTGATTGTCGGTTGACGGAAAATCGTCACCCCTACATGTGTTAGTCCCGAAATGACATAGTTTGTGTCGAGTGAACGTTAAACTCTCTCTCTCTCTCTCTCTCTCTCTCTCTCTCTTTGATTGTCGGTTGACGTAAATTTGAGAGATTGTAGTTATAGGTTGTGATTTGATTCAGATTCCTGAAATTACATATAATATGCAGTTGTATCATTTCCTCCACGTTCTACACAAACAATGTGCAACATTGGGGGTTTTTTCAGCTATAAAGTTTATTTTGCCAGAATCAAGGAATAAGATGTGTGATTTTTCGACATTGTACACTTCACATTGTGTCATGATGTAACGATAGCGCACACCAAGTAAAATTAAAACTCGGAGTAAAGTCATTAATCCATGACGCCAAATTGTTATGATGTATACATTGGTAAATAAAAGATAACCAATTGAAATTGTAACCCCTGGCAGGGTGTCACGCATATCTCGTATGTTTCCTCCCACATAGTAATCTTACCATAGTTGCCATTTACTGAAAATCAAACGTAACTGTCAACACATATGTATGGAATTCGATATGGGGTAAAATTCATGGGTTGTTTTTGTACATTTCAGTTTCAACATTTTACATACGAAAGTAATATTTTAAACCCATGAGTGTTGTTTCTACATTATTGTGTCGACATTTCATGCACAAAATCAACATTTTCAACAAAATATTCACTTTATGTTCCAATTTCGGCATTTTATCCGTAACATTATATCATTAAATATTAAAATTAAAAAAATAATTTATTAATTTTACTCGATATAAGGTCTTGAAATTAAAATCTTGTAATGAAAATGTAAAAAAAAGTCTTGAAGGTAAAGTTTTGAAATGAAAATGCCAAGAAAAATATAATGAATTGCCAACATTATTACACCAGAGGGCGTTTTAATACCAAAATTATTTCACCAGAGGGCGTTGGCGTATGTGTATAACTTTGATACATATATAACACTATAGGGTTATTTTAGGTCTAAGAAAAGTGTTCTGTTTAATATAGAAATCTTTACCTACATGATGTGTGACAAAAACTAGGGTAATGAAGTAGCTTGCATTACTCTGCTACTATCTTAGTCTATCTCAGAGACACTTATGTCAGTACCCATTTCTAGAAAGTAGGGTAGTATCGTCCAGTCATCTCGTGCACGGATTATTCCAATTAAATAGAATAATGTTAACGTTAAACGGTGCCTATATGAAACACTTACCCAAAAATGATAATTGTCCCGCCCTAATAGATGACGCATTACATTTTCTATATAGGAAAGAGCGGGTTTGATTTACCCTCAGACAATCATTCGGAGCCCAGGGGATCACCATACCTATAGCCTCTTCGGCTTAGAGGCTAGGGTGAACACATCATCCTAGCGCGAACCTTATGTAGAACTATCAAGAAGTATGTGGCTCTTGCCACGTTTAAGCCGTTAGGTCTAAGTTAGAAAGGATATTAAACTCAGACCGTGGATAATTTAATAACTCAAAAAGTAACTATCATAGATATTGTAGTTTCGTGTATGTAACCTTTGTAGTTTGCTGTATTCGTTAGATAAACTTAGTAACAACATAAACGGTGTTCAAGAGTCAATTAATTGATGATTGAAATAATTGATCCAACAACGTGAAGTGCAAGCAGGTCCTAAACGATCATCTGTTCCCATAGTGTCACACATACTATAGATTATTCGTTAATATGGCACTCGGGGTGTGCCTTGTTGTGTTTACATTAATTAGATACTTTGATAAAACAGAAATACAGCTCAAGATATTTAATAATAACGACAAAAAAAAAATTTAATTTAAAAAGCCAGAAAAATTAGATAAAGGCCTTTCTTACATATTCGATTCCAAAGAAATTGATAAGTTGCAGAATACAAAGTAACATTAGGTTATATTAGACAAAAAAAAGAAGGTCAAAATAAAATGTCGATGGTATTTTTGAGAAACCCTCCAGGGGTATTTTTAACGATACTAATCTATAGTTTATATCAAAGTTGTACACCTAAAGTTGAATTAACTCATTTCTGAGGGGTGGGGAGGGGGGTGTTCTTAAGGGACGAAGGGGGCTTTGTAAGCAGTGTTTTTGATGTTATCTGAGATTGGTCGATTTATGCACGAAAATTGATCATTGTACGCATAAGTAGAATTAAACTCGAAATTTCGACGTTTTGTCTGACCCCCACCCTTCTTGGGAAGGGATACTCAACTTAATAATTAAGGTTCGGGGTGTGGCTACGCACTAACCAATCATTTTTAGAATAAAACTATGCCTTTTTGTAGATCTTTTATTCATTTGTCATAGACTGACCAGTGGAATTCTACAAAATATAAACAAAAACTTCTTTGTACGGTGTCTGGTCTAATTGGAGGGAGGGTATAAATATTACGAATTATGAAATAAATAAACAAATACGACGTTCTGAAATGTTCACGAATGAGGAAATATGATTGTACTTCCAAACATTGCTTTCCCAAAGTTTTGGAAAAAGCTAAAGGGGTGTCAAAACTTATAAAATTCAAGTGTTTAATTTATGGGCTGTCAGGGACCACGTCGTTGTCTGTAGTTATAGTCTCGGATGAGAATGCGAGAAAAACCGTGTACGCGATTATCCAGACACGAGTATATAAAATTACTATTTGGACAATTAAAGGGGAAAGACGCCTACACGGGGTATTGGGCACTGCTGCCCGCTCATCTAGCATATTAGACATTCTGTACGCGATTTTCGAAACAACCTGAACCAGCTAACTCCCTTACTATCATGGGGCCGTTTCCTCGCGCGTGAAGTGTGCACATGCGTACCCATGCGGAAGTTTACTTTTTGGCCCTCTTCCGCTAAGGCAAATTACCGCTCTTGTTGCTGTTAATTCAGCCTGCAAGTGACAGAGATTTTGGATATGGTGTAATTATAAAAAGGCAGCGACTGCACGTATACAATGTCAGGCTCTACGATGTAAAGATAAATCCTAACATATGACGTCAATTACGTTAGATTTCCCAAATTGTTATACTGGCGGAAAAGCGAACATGGAAAGCGGGCCTTGATCACACAAATCTAGTCTACGAAATTCTAACTTTATGTTATTATCATTAACATTTTAACGACATTCTTTGGTAATCAGTCCCACAAATCGATGTCTCGGCGACTGGATCACGCTAGAATCTATCTTGCAATACATGTATATATGTGGTCATACACATTAGTAATATTTGTCGACTTAAATATATATATCCGAGGATTAAATAAATGATTGTTGCCTAGCACTATTTAATTTATATATCAAATGATCCGAGAGTTATAATAATCGAATGATAATTAACTCTATTATCAACATATTTTTCACTATATTTCGAATTGAGAGAATTCAATTCCGGAAGGTTCAATCAAGTATCTTTCAGCTGTCCTTAATGGTCGGGAATACTCGATTGACCGTTCCGGAATTGAATCCTCCCAATCCCAAAATAGTGGCAATCGAATGAAAAGGGTAATTGTGAGCGACAACGCATGCGCCAGCTGCACGATTCTACTCACCCCCGAATTGACAGAATTGCAATCGAGTAAGGCGTAATTCAGTCCTGTAACAGTTCTGTCAGTCCCGACCACGGAGGTGGTGTGAGTAGAATCGTGACGTAATAAAAACACAACGAATATGTTTCGGCTGCATGGTTGGTTGCGATATTTACTTATGCAGCCGACGCATGCGTTGTAGCCCGAAATCCCGCTTTTCAATTGATTGTCCATTGATTCAATCGATTACCCGCTAAGTTCCAGGTCACTTTATTACATTTCTGTCAACTCTGGATTGTCACTACATTGTGGGATTGAGAGAATTTCATCCCAGATCGTTTTCATAAAAGTTATTTTCCCTGACTTAGAATGTAGTGCGAGTTATAAATATACAATTTTTCCCTTAATTGTTTTCTTAATTTTTCATAGCAGTTTTGGGTAATACTGGTGATATTCCAGCGGAGGGGTAGGGGGTGTAAAGTGTCTTTCTGCAGAGCAATCATTGTGACATTTTGACCCGTCAACATCAAATCCTCGTAGCAAAAAATCTAAACGGTCAATACCCTACAAAACTATGATGAGGAGATTGGAACCAACATAATGTTGGGCACAAAGCTACAGCCTGTGATGTTACAGCCATTTAGGGGTCACGGTGGCTAAATGGGTAAGACGCTTGCTTGCTAGCCTGGAGGTCGGGTGTTCGATCCCTGCATTGGCCGAGAAAGTTCATTCAGATTTTCCGGCGTGGTTCCCCCCTTGTCAGTGATGCAGGGCGGAGGGCCTGGCAAGGACAGCTTTCTATTCGTTCGGATTGGACGAAAAACCGAGGTCCCGTGTACACATTGGCGTGCGCGTAAAAGATCCCTTGACAGTTGGAATTCGATATAAGAGAAGGCCGTAGTGCCGCTGTCCGGGCAAAATTTCCCTCATAGCACACTGTATGGCGTATGCCCGTCTTCATTAGCCCAGTTCGTAGCAAAACAGTATGACGTTAAACCCCATTTCCTTTCCTTTCCTACAGCAATTGACGAGAATTGTAATCAAGTGACGTGGAACTGAATCTTGTAAGTACCGACAGCAGAGGTGGTGTGAGTAAAATCGTGACGTAATTAACACTTATGCATATCTTGTCGCTGTAGCTCGAAATCCCCCTTTTCTCTCGATTGTCAGTTTTTTTGGCATTGAGAGAATTCAATTCCGCAACGTTCTGTTGAGTATCACCTAGGTTTCAGATCTGCTTTTTGATAATTGTAATCAAGTGACGTGGAACTGAATCTTGTAAGTACCGACAGCAGAGGTGGTGTGAGTAAAATCGTGACGTAATTAACACTTATGCATATCTTGTCGCTGTAGCTCGAAATCCCCCTTTTCTCTCGATTGTCAGTATTTTTGGCATTGAGAGAATTCAATTCCGCAACGTTCTGTTGAGTATCACCTAGGTTTCAGATCTGCTTTTTGATAATCTCGCTGACGAACATGGACGTAATAGCCTTTAGACATTATACTTAAGACACGGTTTAATGTTTGTTTTGAAAGAGATTTTTCACATTGCAAGTACCTGTGATATATTACATACGCGTCACGATAATCCGATAATCCCATTAATGTATATTATTACGTATATTGCAGATCTATTTATGGCAAAAAATACAACACGTACTTGGTGGTATGATATTATTTACATAATATTACGGCAACTGCTTTACACTATTATTATGTATTATGTAGTTTATATAATTATACTATTGTCAGTAGGCATTATTTAATTAATAGAATCTGGAAAAAAACACTGCCCTTCAAAAAAACACTCTGACACTTAATATTATTGTGAAAAAGGGTAAATTTCCAAGCTTCAATAAACAAAACCTAGTTGGAGTCATATTTGATATTTACTATAGTGTTGGGTGATAAGCTCCACTCCGATGAAATGAAATGAAATTAAAATGAAATGAAATGGGGTTTAACGTCCTACTGTCCTGCTCCTAACCTGGACTAATGAAAACGGGCAAGGCGGGCATACGTCATACAGTGTGCTATGAGGGCAGTGGCGCTACGACCTACTCTTACATCGAATTCCAAATGCTAAGCGATCTTTTACGTGCACGCCAATGTGTACACGAGACCTCGGTTTTTCGTCCCATCCGAACGACCAGACAGCTGTCATTGTCAGGCCCTCCATCCTGCATCATTGGAAAGGGGAAACTTTCTCGGCCAATGCAAGGATCGAACACCCGACCTCCAGGCTAGCGAGCCAGCGTCTTTTTTTTTCTTTTTAATATTTATTCACAGAAAGACATTAATACATTACATGTTCATTGCGAATATAATCGTAATTAATCATTCCTGATTATATTTTCAAGCAATTTCTTCTGACTAATGACTTACTATTGGGTAGCTCGAGCTAGTTAGAATTTGATCCACCACCACCAGTACAAAACATAAAATAAAATAACCCGAAAGATTAAGTATAGATCACGACAAAATGACCAGGTTTAAGGTTCAATAATATACTGTACCATATTTATATCTGTAACACTTTACTTTAAGCCGATTATTTTCTTATACCTTAGTAACACAGCATGGTATAAGCTGAGCAGTATTTATATATGTATAGTTAAAACCGAAAGTTCGTGACAATTTACTATTTCCTTATATCTGAGAGAGAGAGAGAGAGAGAGAGAGAGAGAGAGAGTCCGGATTAGAGGTATTTTCTCAAGAATCGTCGGACGAGTTATAGCTATACTAGTAGAAGTATAAGCAGTGTGTATTTGCTGTTTAATTGGAATAATCCCGTTGAAATCAGCATTATACTAATACAGCTGAGAAAGTTTCAGACATAACGGTTGATACCATTAAGACAATTTACACAAATACTGTACCTATACACTGATAGTTGATAAAACCACAGAAAGCTATACTGTAAATTGTCCACCATAAAAACAATAGATATACATTGTCCGTCAATTTAACAGCACCCCTGAGAACCCCCCCCCCACCCCCCACCCCCCCCCCCCCGTGTTGCTCTGAGCTAGTTCATAGGGAATCTGTTTTGTATGAAATTTATACAACAGAGAAAATAATTCATGGGGATTCTCCGTGAAAGATTACTTTATACTATCTTTTTGATTTGGGTCACAAAAAATCCCAGTTTAAAATATTACGTCCGTATGTATAGACATAGAGTGATAACCCATTGACATTTTATTTTAATCGTATGAAGTTCACAAGAAAAAACTCAACCGAATCGAAGGGGTTGTAGACCTTTACTTTGACACTCCCTATTCTTAAAATTCAAATCTACCTTTCAACCTACAGGGAATTTTAAGGTTTTACTTCTGAATATTATTCAACTGGCATAGGGGTTAAACATTCAGGGGCTTTCATCAAATTAAGATTTATGAAAATGTAATGCAAGGGTGTCATTTCTGAAGGTGACCAAGCAAGCGAAAAAGAGAGAGACATACCCTTTGCCATCTTGGCCGAAGTCTTTTGAAGGCCTTGTGCCACAGGACGGTTGTGTCACAACTAGTCTACAGATATTCGCTCAACCCAGCACCATCAAACGCCCGCTAATCTCACTAGACTTAAACCTAAACCATCCTATCTCACAATTATCCGAACACTTCATGTTTCGCATTCAAATAAACTATTAGACCACCCTGGTCTACTTTAATGAACATTTTGTTGTTCCAGCTCTTGAGCAACATTCTTAGAAAAAGATCAAGGTTACGCCAATTTATGTATCATCATGTAGCTCGTTCTCTGTTAACTCAATCAGATTAATGTGAAAGATGAAAAGGGTGTGCACGAAATGCTAACAATTATAATGAGTAGGCTGGTTAAAGTAGACATTATTATTATCACGTTCATGCAATGTGCCACCTCTTATTATCTGATGCGACACATTTAGCGGTTTGCCACCCCTGCCCTAAAGCATAATATCTAACATATAAACTAACCATTACCTTAAACCATCATATCTCGCATTTCAAGTAACCATTAATCTTAATCGCTATCTCCCATTAAAACCCAAACTTTCAAAGGGTTGACGGCACAAAAATCACCACATCTCACAATTTCAACAAAAGCTGACATTTATCACATCATATTAAAATACAGAAAAACAAAAGACACTGATGTCTGGATAGTATGTCAGAACGGCGTCATATAATAAAAACATAGGTTATGACGTAATCCATAGCAGTGAGGCCAAAATTTCATTTATCAACTCCCTATATACACACACTACTGTGCAAGTATGAATGAAAATAAATGGGGTTTAACATCCTACTGTTTTGCTCCCAGTCGGCTAATAAAGACGGTCATAATTATACAGTGTGCTATGAGGGAAGTTTTACCAGGACAGTGGAAGTAGGGTCTACACTTAAACCGAACTCCATTTTTCAAGGGATCTTTTAACAAATTCGTCTCATCCGTTGTCCCTTGCCATGTCCTCTATCTTGCCTCGCTGTCAAGGGGGGGGGGGGGCACGCCGGAAATTTCGATGAACATCCTCGGCAAACACCGGGACTTTCATGTTAACTAGCCAACGTCTTACTCACTGAGCCACCATCTCTTCAGCTAGTATAAATGGCCTGTAGTGTAGAGCCTATAATGTAAGACTTGAACCATAAAGTCTTAATGAGTGATAAGATGTTTTAAAATATATTCATTAATTATATAAAATACTGCATTAAAGGAATATTTATAAAATCTTAATGAGTTATAGATGTTTTAAAATATATTTATTGATTATAAAATACTACATTAAAATAATACGTAATAAAATTTATGTTTTACAATACATCTATTGATTATATCAAATACTACCTTAAAATACTACGTAATAACATTTAAATAACATAAAATACTACCTTAAAATAATACGTAAAAACATTTATCAAGTTTCAATGAGTGAATAGATGTTTTATAATATATTTATTGATTATATAAAATATCACATTAAAAATTATCTAGTCTTAATGAGTAAACATATGTTTTAAAATATCTAATTATATAAAATATATACATGTATTGTCTCCCTCTATCTTTACTAGGACTTGGGACCTACAACGTCAGTCCTCCACTGGTGGTTTTATAAACAATTTTTTATCTATACATGGTGACATGCATAATATGTAAAATCGATCCTACAGTATTTATTAAAGAGGCATTATGGTCGATCTCGAGAGGACATTTCAATGATAGATAATTCAAAATGAATATATTGACAATTTCCTTTAAATTGTTTATTTTGAAAGAAGTTATTAATGGTGGTAGTTTTGATAAGGTGTGCGCATTGATCTTAACCACCGTACTGGTCATCCGAGTCTTAGTCTGGCTTCTCCCTTTTTTGAATTAAATCACCGTTATGATCTACTTAAAATCTACTTATGGTCTTGTTATTTTAATAAATGTCTAATTAATAATTCATATAACATTTAAGCCCCCACCCGTTAGTTCCTAAACCGTACCGTAGTAAATGACAATTCCCTTCTTCACAAAATGAGCACAATTTAAACATACATTATGCAAGAGCTAACTCTTGTCTATTACAGGTCTTTCTTTTGCCGGAAATGTTACATAAATTATTAATTAGACATTTATTAAGATGTGTCGGATTTTCACTGGATTTTAATCCGATCTGCTACTGAGCGCTCATTAATGAATAAATACGAAAATGGGTAATCGTATGTTTTTATCGTACCGACTTTAGTGATGATTATCGAGGTAAGGCCTAAAATTCAGTCGCTAATATCCCGGTTCAGAGAGAAGCAATTAGACTGAAATTTTCAGCATATTCCCTTTACGTTATCTAGTTTTAACTATTACAGCTAGATTTGTCAGCTTTTTATCTAATCTTCCATAATGCGCCTTTGAGTCTTTCTCTTCATTGATACTTATACAAAGATATATTATTATATGCCAACATTTTCAACTTGACGTATATTGTTTTCTCCCCGGCCCTGATATCCACAATAACGTCAATTTGTTTGTGGACCGTCTACAGGTTAGCCACTCGACATATTGCTAGTCTTGTTGGTATTTCTTAACTTCCTGACGTTCCGTGACAATCTGTGCCGTTCTGAAGCAGATCCTGATGTTTTGGCCAGGTTTATAACCATGGATTCCATCAATGAAAATGGAAGTACCCCGTTGCTATTTTCTTAGTAATGTTAACGTCATGTCAGCTGTGAACGACATTTTTAGAATGACTGAAGAAAAATTCTTCCTGACAGGCACTCAGGCCTTGCAACACTGCTAGCAAAAGTTTGTCTGTGTGTCGCCTACAGTCCGCAATTCTTAACTGGTCGGCTAGAAACTTTGCATACTTGTTCCTTATACCCCAAGGATGACCCATAATGTTTTGGTGTATGACCGACCCCAGATTATTCTGTTTACCATCGAGTTTAACCTTTATAGAAATACACATTTTAGCCACTATTGGGCTTGTAACAAACAGCGAGGCTGATGTCCTCCGCCAAAATTCGAAAATACATAGACGACACATTAATTGCATAATTTATCTTTTTCAAAAGTATCGCGTAATCAAACTGATTTTCCATACTTAGTCTAAGCATAAAATGTTCACGATCAAACTCAGTCAAGGTTTTGAAGTGCACTAAGTTTCATCACTCTCCATCAGTTAGAATCAAAATCATCTTGTCCCAAAGCATCAACCAATGAAATTGCATAGCTCTGCTTAGCTTTAGCGGAAAATGTTTACCATTGGATTTAGTCACCTGATGAACATCTACATCAATGTTAATCACTGAACTCTGTCAAGACATTCAGCTAATGAACATATACATCAAGTTCAAAATTCTACCCCAATTAAAAGGAGAATTTTTATGTTCAAGAGTCTTGACCAATCACATTGCTTATCGCTACTTAGCCTAAGCAGACAATTCTCATTATCGAACTTACTGAAGGTATTCCTCACACAATCAGAACCAAAGTCATCGTGTTCCTCTGTTAAGCCTAAGTGGAAAATGTGCATGATCAAACCCTGCGATGGCATTCACCCAATAAACATTTTCACCCCGAGAATCAAACCCTCCATCAAGGAATTCATCTAAAACACCAACACAACGTTATTGTGTCCCAAATGGTGTGACGGACAGACAGACCCATTTTATTAGTCCCCCGGGGGAGGGGGGCACAAAACCATCAGTAGTGAACCAACAATGGTGATGTTAAGACATCACCTCTGTATCATGAAACCTGAAATATGTAAACATAGTTACTTTAATACATAATATAGGTGAAATAAAAACAAAGTGTGGTTTATTATGTATAGGATCACACACATACATGGATGATAATACCTAGATGTCTCTTTGCTTTATCATGAGGGAGGAGTTCACTGAGCTAACAAATTTAAACACACATTATGCAAGAGTTAAATCTGCCAATTAATTAGACATTAATTAACTTATCCTGACCATAATTATTATTATTATTATTATTATTACATGTACTTATATAGCGCTCCTTTCATGATAAACAGGGTTTTAAAAATATGAAGTTCGTGTAAAAAATAGAAATATAGAAATCAACATATAAAAAAACCAGTAATCTTTAATGGTGTAGATAGAGTTTTTACGTGTAAAATAATCATGTAAATAAAGAAATAAAAATATAAATAAAAACAATGATATTTAATGGTGTAGATAATGTTATAAAGCGTAAAAAGAATAGCAAGAGTAAATAGGTGGGTTTTGAGTTTCGTTTTAAAAACAGGGAGTGAATTACAACTGCGTATACTGTGTGGGAGTTTATTCCATAATTTTGGTGCACAAATGGAAAAAGCACGATTGCCACAGAAGGCAAGGTTCGATTTTTGCTCCTTTAAAAGACAATGATCTTGAGACGAACGTAAAGTTCTGGATGGTGAATATAAAGTTAAAAGATTGGATAAGTAAGATGGCGCAAGACCATTTAGACATTTAAAAGTTAACAATTAAATTTTATAGGTTATTCTAGATTGAACCGGGAGCCAGTGTAAATTATAAAGGATTGGGGTTATATGTTCTCTATAAGAAACATCAGTAATAAGTCTAGCTGCAGATTTTTGTAGTTTTTGTAGTTTATCGATATATTTAGCATATATAATCAACTCTCGGTGGCATCGCTAGCCTGCGATATTTACTGGATAATCGATACTATGCTTTTATCGTACCGGCTTTAGTAATGATGATCGAGGCTAGGCACAAAATGTAATTGCTAAATAATCGGTTCGGGGTGGATCAATTTGACTTAAATTTTCAGCAAATTCCCTTTACATTATCTAGTTTTTAACTGTTATAGTGATAACTACCAGCTCTGTATCTGATCTCCCATAATGTATTTTTAAGTCTCATTTTTTTCTTATTGAAACCACTGGATTGATGACACTGCTGGTTACATTGGCACTGGGATGATTTTACTAACCTAACCTAGTGACATACTACCCCAATTCACTTACATACTACTAGTCAAAAACCTATTGGGGGAGGGGGTGGATGGCCGAATGGTAAGCACGCGCGCGCTGTATCATACGGCCTGTCATTGAGTCAACTGGCGGGGTTTTGATTCGCCGGTTGTACGTGACAAGGAGTAGGGTCGCCTGTCCAGCCTCGTGGGTTTTCTCCGGGTCCTCCGGTTTCCTCCCACTGCTAAAGACGCCTACGCGCAAGCGAATTATTGAATAAAATTGAACCACGTGTTAGTCCCGAAATGACCTAGATTGTGTCGAGTGGACGTTAAAGCCTATTTCTCTCTTTCTCTCAAAAACCTATTGAAATAGAAGGAACAGTGTCTCGTCGTTCTGATGGGACGAAAACCAAAATTCCAAAATAAACTTTGGTGTACATGTACAATAAGAGATAAGTGTATGCAGTCGTGCCGCTGTGTGTCCATAATTTCCCTCATGTCACACTGTGTAGCGTTGCCCGTCTTCATTAGCCTAGTCAGTGCAGCAAAGTTATTGTTTTTTCCCTTTCATTTCGATTCGTGCATTTTTACATTGTACGATATGCGATGTTATTACGTGTTTACTAGTGCAGTCCTGTACAACTCGAGAGATAATGGAGATAGAAGCAAGTGTTTACTAGTCCTCTAAGATAATAACAAGTAGTCATGTGAAAGATAATTGAGGAGACTAGCAAGTAGTAGCAAGTACTTACTTGTCATATGAGATATTAGAGATAATAACAAGTAATGATGTGTACTTACTAGTGACAATAACAAGTAGTATTATTGTACGTCACCAACAAGTGATTTGTAGCTGTGGATGTTTTTGAATCTGTTCTATATATGGAAGGCGGTACAGCATTCGCTTGCACGTCTCGTTCTATAAAAATGGTAACATTTACAACTACAACTAAAACAAAAATACAACTAAAACCTTACCCACACCCCTATTTAAAATCAGTAACAGATTACTACGAATACCAGCTATATAAATTCCTAGAAATATTTTAAATTTTACATTCGACTGTATTAATACTGAATTGGTGATAGATGAAAAAGACATAAAGGATTACAAACATCATTAGTTATTGGGCCAGGTGTATTAGTCAATGGTATCAAGTTAACAGTGTCTTCAATAGAGAGAGAGAGAGAGAGAGAGAGAGGGGGGGGGGTGTTACGTCCACTCGACACAAACTAGGTCATTTCGGGACTAACACATTGTTCAATTTTATTTCAATAATTCGCTTGCGCGTAGGGGTCTTTAGCAGTGGGAGGACCCGGAGAAAACCCACGAGGTGTCTCTTAAGTACATCATTTATTCATATTATTCCCTTCATCGTTGTATATAATAAATCTGAATAAATACTTTTTAAATCAACATCATTTAAGAACAACAAATTACTGTAATTATATGTAGTTACCTTTCAGTTTTGTTGTTGTTAATAGCTGCTCTCCATCACCCAGTGTTAGTTGACAGACATACTCCCATCCAAAATCTTCCACTGTCACATTTTGTAAGGTTAGACTGATCTTTTCACCAATTTTATTTTCATTTGGTGTCTTTTTGACTGTTACTCTTTTGATAAATTGATCCGTGTCAGTAAATTCACCCTGGTACCAATATCCTACTTCGACCTGGAGAAATATACTCAAAGCCATTAAAAACGCATTGCTTAATTCGTGAAATATTTCTGGTAAACGTTTTCTTGGGCTTTCGTGCCGTATGGGTCTCTTTTTGTGGAGTTCTGGGTTTGAACCCAATATCAGTTCTCGGTAATGAACTTTGTTCGTGCAAACACTTGTCTTTTTTCAGAGTTTAAGCAGTCCCATGTCGCACGTTTTGCACGTGCATTCCCTTCACTCTGGCCCTTTAAATACAGATCAAAATTTCAACGTTCATCACTTCGGAAAAATGCCACGACTTACACGATATTGACTTCAGCTGACCCCGGCTTTGTTTCACGGTTCTCTGACGTTTCGATTTTGTGCATTTGTAGTTAATGTTTTCATGAATGAAATTATCCACCGATGCTTTTTATCTCGATTTTGTCAATTGGTTATATAATTTATCCAATTACACAACACACACAATAGAGGAAGATGTGGTATAAACAACACATTGCTTATAGAATTTAATTCCACCAATTTTACATAAAGTAGAGGAGGTGATTGCGTTTAATTCCGCCGATTATTTAAAGTAAACTAGAGAGGGTTGTGGTGTAAATAGCGTGTTGATTAGTTGTATATTGAGCTTTACCTTTTCATTTTTCCTTTCCCGTCTTATAAAAACAGCAATTGCTTCATATGGATATTTGTATTCCCACAGAAAAGTAACATCCGTTCCCAATGTTGCATGTTTTTCGTATTCAGAATGTGTCCATTTTGGTCCTGCAAACAGTTAATTTACATTCATATGCGTTACTCAAATATCCATCAGTATATTTTGGTAAACAACGTCCACAGGGAGGTATTGAACTAGACAGTAGGGGTGGTCATATTCTATTGCGATACAAACCTCGATATTCGCCACAATTATGAGGCCCATTTCCAGGAAACATTGTTGTAGAGTTGAAAGTTCAAACGAAATGTCGATTATTTATTTGAATTGATTATTTCAGGACTTTCATGAAATAATTCATTATTTTAGGACTTTCGTGATATAATTCATCATTTTAGGACTTTCGTGAAATAATTTAAATATCGACTTTAGCTGAAACTAAAATACACGCTTTTTATACAATTGATGGTAAAGGGGATGGCTTTATCTACATGTAGTAATTATAATTCATTTTATATTCCGGCCAGAGAGAGAAATAGGGTTTAACGTCCGGGTATATGAAACCGTCTTTTTGGAATTTTATGTGGGGAGTTGATGAAATAGTCTTGTTGCAAACGTTTGTCAACTCAACGGCAAAAGCAACCTTTCTGCCTTGGGTTACAGTAGTAATTGAACCCTCTATCCCTATGTAAGGCCAAACACGCCATATTTCAAACAGAACCACAGTAGATTCATGATTTGCACAGGATTGTACCTGGGTCATTCCATGTCAAGTGGGTCAATTTTCAGATATTGGGAAATTGACTTCCCTCGAAAAAATCGTGAAAAAATATATGTTATTGTGCATGTTAAAACTATATAGAAACTGTGCAAAACTGTGGTCTGTAGCTTGAAAATTGACTGAGATACGGGCATTTGAGTTTCTTGAGTTACCGATTAGTTTTCGAACCATATGTATCAATAATTTACTCGAGTTTCTCAGATATTTTATTTTTAACTGACTTGCTGTTTCAATCATAGTTATCTATCTTTAGGAAGGTCAGGTGACTGGTAGGGTTCGGATGCTACTTGACCATAAAACCCCCCAAAAATTGGTATAATTGTATATTTTCTGGATTTTGTAGTGCTCCAGGAACTACAAAGTAATATATATAGACCTAAGTATTGGCCTATCCAGAGATTACCGGTAGTACTACATACGAAACATATGAAAACGCCTCATTCTGCACTAGATTCACAGAAAATTACCCTCGAATATGGTTTCAGACACAAATTTTGAAAATTGCCTCGTATTTTTCGAGCCGATAGAACCTGGTAGATGAGCACCTAAAAATCTGAAACTTGGTGTAATTATAGTTTGTACTAATGTCCCTAACATATGTTAAAGACGTTCTTGTTCCATGCTATCTTTTTTTGGGTTACTCGGATCCATGTCAATTATCACCCAATTAGTTAAACCGTACCCCTTCGATTTTGCTGAAATTTGGTTTATATGCTTATTAGGGCTGAAAAGGATCGAAATCCAATTTACTAGGTGTGTACACTATATCCACGCGACCCAACAAGTCATATTTTAAAGTAAATTTGACTACATTACTCTTGCGTACTTAGTGCTTTTAATTCAATTGTTGAATTCCTTGATACTTCATTACCACAGTTAACCTGACAGTTGTACTGGAGGTCATAGTCTATATAGATAGGATCTTCCAGAATCAAAGATACTTTCTTTTCAGTCGTCCCGTTTATTTCATCTATAGTATGTGCAAGAACAGTTGATATGAATGGATCAGGTTTGAATCCCCCTTCCTTTGTCCATTTTCCTACAGGAACCTATAATAAAATAAACATGTCTACATGTATGCATTTCATATATCTACACATATACATGGTGCGGCTAATGGGCTATCGCGTGGGTTTTCTACCGACCCCCTGGTTTTCCCCACTACTAAACACTCATAACTGCAAGCAAATTATTGGAGTAAAACTGGGCCATAGATGATCTTATTTGTGACGAGTGACGTTCATTTGTCTCCACGACAAACATAATATACATGCTGTGACAATATCCTGTTACCCGGAAGACTATCTTGCAATTTGAAAACACAACGTGAAGTGCAATGTTAAGATTTTGACTTCCTTACAGACTTCACGTTGTGTTTTTAAATACTAACGCCCCCATTGCTCTAAATAGGCGGGTATATGCATATAATATAGTCTGTAATCATAGTCTGAATTTCACGAGCATGACTGTTTAGACACTCGTACAAGCCGGCAAAAGGACATACATTTTCATTAGTAATTGGTGTCGGTTCATAGGTGAACAGAATAGGTTTTATAGTGTTATTAATTACTAATTTGTTAACCACCTGCGGGGAAAAGGTAGTTCGGTATCCACCGTAATGGATTGTATTGGATTTTAACCGTAGAGTTACAACTAAATGCTTTGATGTTACACAAAACAAGAAAATCGACATAGAGTACTGTCAAGTACACGTTTTCTTCTTTTTGTTTTAATATTTCCACTCCCGGGCAATTCTTTGACGCATGGTGCGGATCACAGAATTTGTTGTAATATTCATCTCGAAGTACGAATTTTAAAGATATAAACGGCTAGAAAGATGGGTTATGGATATTTTCATTGGGTAACGCAAACAAGAAACATCCGAAAAACAACAATATGTAGGAACAGTTTACTGTTACACACACACATCCTTCTTTTCTTTTTAATAAAACAATATTTACCAGAGTAGGTAAAATGAATATATATTTTGCTTTGATTAGATTTCTACTAAACATATGTCCTTACTAAAATATCCGAGCTGTTCCTAAAACGTGTAAAAAACATGCTGGTGACAGGTTGTTGAGATTCATATTTCCACTCCAGGGCAATCCTTTGACGTAGAGTACTGATCACAGGATTTGTTGTATTTTTCCATTCGAACAAGGACTCTAAAATAAATAAACCGATGGAAAGATGTCCCCATACTCATGTGACTTTTGTATGGTTAGCCACTGTAATTTTAACAACTATATTATATTAATGACAATCGAGGCTAGCCTATAATTAACTCTTCGATTCCTTGGCTCAGGTTGGAGAATACTAATAAAACGTGGGTCAGTTCTTGTCCATGCTATTACATACATCTCTATGTGTCCCCTTTGGGTTCCCAATGTATATGAAATACGAGTCCCTTTGTCACATGTATCCCCATGGGCATCCCACGAAACCGCATAATTAACCCATTGGTCACCATAGTTTCTCTATAATTTCTTATGTGATGTATGTTTAACCCACGGTACCGTAAACATCCCATTGGTGAGCCTTTCCGACCTATGGGACACGAATGTGGGATTTCCTTTGGTACTTTATGGGCAGTTAGTTCTGTCCTGTCTAGTAGTAGAATATAAAAATATCTGGTAACATACCTGATTGCACAGGACTCATTAAGATCAACACCACTATCAATAATATTCGAAGCTTTATGAAATTGCTTAAATAAAATAAATATTTCAAGTCCTTACAATACATAAATGTAGACATATGATTCCCGCGATAAAATGTTAAATTTAATGAAAGCTCACGAAGTTCTGTTAAAATTGTGCCAATTTTCATTTTCGTATTCTATGGCGCCATAAAACAATCTCAATAATTCACAATATAATCATGTTTCTTACGACTCCATAATTAATGGGAGGGGCGGGTCGGCTAGTTGTTTACTTCGCTATGATCATAACATTGACTGATTGTAAAGTATGTTACAAGTCGATTAGATAAAAATCTGCTTTAAATTATTATATTATTATAACGCTTACAATCTAAACATAACAAATTGTTATGAGTAATAAAGTTACACACTGATTTAAACATACATTAAACAAGAGCTAAATCTGCCTATTCATATTGCAGGTCTTTCTTTAGTCCTGAAATGTTATATAAACTTTTAATTAAATATTTATTAACATGACAAGACCATAATTAACTCTCGATGCCATTGATGATTAATCGCAAAAATGGATAATCGACACTTTGTTTATTTTCGTCACAATGGCAACCATGACAATCGAGGCTAAAAAAATTTAAAAAGAGTTTTTCTGGGCTTGAAGTGAAGTAATTTGACTGAAATGTTCAGAATATTCCCATTAGGGTATCTATTATTTAACTATTATAATGTGAACTGCCAGCGCTTTATGTAGTCGGAGGGGGGGGGGTCGATGGCTGAATGGTTAGCGTGTGCGCGCTGTATCATAAAGTCTGTCATTGAGTCAACTGGCGTGGTTTCGAATCCCCGGTTGTACGTGACAAGGAGTTGGGTCGCCTGTCCAACCTAGTAGGTTTTCTCCGGGTCCCCCGGTTTCCTCCCACTGCTAAAGACCCCTACGCGAATTATTGAAATAAAATTAAACCATATGTTAGGTTAGTCCCGAAATGACCTAGGTTGTGTCGAGTGGACTTTAAACCCCATTTCTCTCTCTCTCTCGCTTTTATGTAGTCTTCCATAATGTATCTTTAAGTTATAAAGTATTAGCATATTTATAATAGGTGATAAAGTTACAACCTGCTTTAAATTATGTTAAGGTATACAAATGCTATATAACGTGTTCTATCATAGATTTTCAAACACTGTTTAACTAGACTTCCGTTATCTTGATTGATTTCAAGTTCTCGGTTGTATTCGGTTTTTAAAAATATTTTGTTAAGTAACAATGCTTATTAAATAGCAGTAAGTTCAGGAGGACAGCAAAACATAACCGACAAGAGAAACCCACTGACAAGACAAACGCCGTGGTCAGTGCCAGAAATAACCAACAATTATCAAATAAAAGGTTTGTTACAGGCTCTTTCTGATGTAGAACCTCAAATGCCCAAAATTTAGGGTTACAGCCGGCGGTGCCGGTCGTCCAAAAGAGGCGAAGGCGCGCAGCTAACTGGATAGGGCCTCTGTGTAGCGGGAACCTAGAATTAAGACGGTTGTTTCAATATCTTCTTTTTCTATCGTTTGCACAAATAAAACGAGTAGTAGGGCCTTTCTTAACATATTTGAGTAACTTCCTTGTTGAATAAGTATGCCAATCAGGGCCCTCGTATAACGGAGGTCCGATAAGGCCATATGCCGGGGAGAGGGGCGCTTCTTGGGAGGCTGCAAATTATATAAGTGCATACCATACATATTTAAAGGGCCCCCTTGGAGGCCTTCGCTTCCCCTAAACCTGTGCAAACCAGTTCATATTTCAGCAAATAGAATTATGATTTTCCCAAGATATATTATAGGGTTTTTCGATCAAATTTTACATATAAGTTGATTAAATAAAACGTTATTTAGATAAAGTGTTAAAAGCATAGAAGTTGCTTGACAACGAAGCATACGACCACGGCAGCTAAGTCGTTTGGAAAGTCAACAAGGACTGTCGCATACTTTTTCCATTTATCAGAAAAGTTTTAAAAGCATAGAAATTAGGTTGGCAGGCAACGAAGCACAGGCCCACGGCAGCTAAGTCGTCCGTAAAGTCAACAATGGTTGTCGCATACTTTTTTCCTTTATCAGAAATGAAACAATTACAACATACTAAAATCTGATTACGAGTAACCACCCATTTGACTTCTTTTTAGTTCTGCCCTATTCTAACATTTAGCATACAAAACATTTAATATCAATTAATTGCCATAATCATCGACAATCGATAAGGTACTCGGCCTCTAGAGTGCTTACATGATTTTTCACACAGAGACCAAAGGTCATAAATCTAGCAGTTATTATCGGAAATCTTTGAAAATCAATATTGGTTCCTTCGTCCCATGACCTCAATCGGATATTAACTTTAGCCTCCAGGCGTGCACAAAATTTTTAGCATGATCAAGGGCCATTAAGTTGGTAGTATTCATCGAAATCGTTGAAAACCTATAGGCATAGGCTTCTTCGTCTTATGACCTTAAATACTTTGTATAAATTCACAGTCAACAATATACGACCACGTTGTAATGTGACAGTTTACAAACAGTATTTTAAAATTTCTTTAAAATCATAAAACATCAACTGAGCGTATGCACTGAACATAATAGTTATGGTATGCAAAGCGGGGGGGGGGGGGGGCGCCACATAGTCTTGTGAGGGCCCTGATGCCAATAACAATATATAAAAGACGATATGTGAAATTGTATAACATCAACAATAAATAATATATGACTGGTGCAATTTATTATTTATACATTATGATCATAACGTGTCTTTAAATGTTTTAATAACCAGAAGCCTTTTATGAAGAGTGTTTCACTGGTGTCCTTTTACCAAGATAAACCTAGTAATATCAGATAAATATATGCATAAAATGGTCCCGTGATGCATAGGCGTACGGGCTCGATGTATGATGAGAAGGGGGTCAGCACCGGTAATGCCCGAAAGTATTTGGGGTTACAGACGGTCGTGTCGGGCTTTGCGAGAGGCGAAGGAGCCGAGGGCCACAAACGCGTTTTCCTCTATCCCAGCCGGTGAATACAGCAACTTCAAAGTGATCTGATATAGCCTAACTTAGGTGATTGACTCGAATTCCACTCAATCAATACGTCATTTACAGTCTATGGAGATGGGGCAATCGAGGGAAAGTTTAACTCCCGCAAACGCCTTTCCCTGCTATTCCAGCCAGAGAACACGACAACATCAACGTGGTCGAGTATAACCTTCCATAGGTGACTTGCCAGAATCCAAGATCCAAAACAACCAATCAATCCCCGGGAAAACTTAACCGCCGCTATTCTAGCCCGTGTAATAAGTAACTTCAAAGTTTCCAATCGATTTGCAACCGAAATCCCACTTTATGCCGACCTGAATTCCAACTATCTATTCAGACTGTTGGAGCTACATTCACAAACAATAATCAATGCCCGAAAAATGTCGCACAAAGCAGAGTGGTTCCAGACAAAATGCTTTACTACATAGTCAATTCAGTACAAATTCGTGCTTTACTACATGCTTTACTACATAGTCAATTCAGTGCAAATTCGTGCTTTAATACATAGTCATTTCAGTACAAATTCATGGTATTCAATTAAAAGTAAAAATAATTTTCATATCAGATTTCGGGCACTTTATTTTTCCAAATAGATGAAATAATAATTTTTGTTTTCACTTTAGCCGTCTGCCCGAAAAATCTTACTAGAAAAATACTGGATGCCCCAATAAATTTTGATTTTTTTCGTTGTCAGGCCAGATAAGCCCACATATTGCAAGAGATAGATGGAGAGAACAATGCGACTTTTTCGTACAATCAGGGGCCATAATCCTGCAAAAAGTTACTGTCCGATACGAAAGAGAGAGAGAGAGAGAGAGAGAGAGAGAGAGAGAGAGGGAGGGAGAGAGAGAGAGATGTGGTTTAACGTCAACTCGACACATACTAGGTCATTTCGGGACTAATATACGGTTCAATTTTATTTCCATAATTCGCTTGTGCGTAACGGTCTTTAGCAGTGGGAGGAAACCGGAGGACCTTGAACAGGCGACCCTAGTCACATACAATCAACTCAAAGACAGACCTTATCATACAACGCGAACGCGCTAACCAATCGACCCCCCCCCACACACACACACACCACACACACACCACCCATTCCCGACATGCACAAATATCAAAAGGAACCGAGATCGTTTGAGTATTAACATATTTTACGTTTTTTCAAGACTGGATAAAAGCTGTCACTTCTGGAAGGTCAACAACCAGCAATCATTTGGTAGGGCAGTTCCGCTGGGGTGGTATTACGATGATGTATTTAAATGTACATGTATTTTTTTTTTTAAATCGTATAACACTTGTGACCTCTAGGGGTTCCATACGCTTAAAAAAAATGCTATTTTTCGTACAATCAGGGTCCATAATCCGGGAAGTGACAGTCCGATATGCGTATATATCGAAAGGAACCAATATATTTGCGTTATAAACATACATTCACGTTTGATCAAACTCGAATAAAAATTGGGACATCTAGAGGGCCCACAACCTATGTATTACATACTTTTAGACTATTTGCGTACAAGCAGTGTCCATTTTGACCGGCAGTTTCGGTCGGATTTTTGCGAAATTGGGCTGTAATTAAAGGGTTTTTAAAATTGAATACAAATTGTGACATCTAAAGGATCCACGAGATAAAATTGTGATTTTTCGAAAAATTATTGGTCATAATCCCGGAAGTTACGTTCCGATAATTTTAGACTATTGGCGTTCAAGCATAAGGTTAAAGTTGCATCAGAATTAAATCACAATTGTGACCTCTAGAGGGACCACAACCTTGATATACCATACTTTTAAAATATTTGCGTACGAGGGGTGGTCATTTTGGTTCGGCGGTTTCTGACCGATTTTCATAAAATTGGAACTCAACTGTCATTAACGGTGATATATTCGAACGATTTTTTAAATTGGATACACAAGCTAAAACGCGAATCGCGTACAATCGGGAGCCATAATCCAGGAGGTTACAGACCGATGTGCGAGAATATCAACA